AATTGGGAGAGAAATATCATCCAGACTATGGACAGATCCATGCTACTATTATGCGCGCTTGAAACATATTGACCCGGAATTAATGTTCCGAATGCCGGGAAATATAAAACGACGAACAGAAACTGTGCTGCATCGAATACGCTTGAATGTGGCTTTTACTAGAAAATATCTTCATATGATCGGCCAAGTAGATTCACCGCATTGTACAGCATACTCAACAACACACGACATTAAACATGTACTCTGCCATTGTTCACTATATAGTTCCCAAAGGAAAATACTAAAACAATCCTTGAATATGCATGATCAAGACATTGAGCTCAGCCATATATTAGGACCCTGGACTTCAGTAGCGAAAGAATCTAAAGCAACCAACGCTTTACTCCGGTTCTTAAAGGACACCCGCCTGGACCAAGAGCTGTGAACTGACATCACTCTTTTTAATTTACGTGTGGCTATTTATTTTTCGCCAATCTTTGAGTGCGTATATATGTGTTTTAGTATGTGTGTGGGATGTGTGTGGGGGAGGGGGGATACGAGTGTATATGTGATCCCACCCTTTCTTTACTTCTCTATTCTGTCTGCTGTCTCTCTGCTCTCTTCCTTTTCACGCAAAGTAGCAAACCAGCACTCACAAGCAGGTTGACCTCTTTACTTTCCTGTAAATAAACATACCTCTCTCTCTCTGAGCTCTTTGACGTGGACATTTTGACCCCTTTTGGATATTCGTCTCCATGCACATTTTGACACAATTGGACATTTTGACACAATTGGACATTTCGTCTCGATGAACATTTTGACTCCATGGACATTTTGACCCAATTGGACATTTCGTCTCGATGGACGTTTCAACTCGATGGACATTTTGACCCGATTGGACATTTCGTCTCGATGGACATTTTGACTCGATGGACATTCTGACCCGATTGGACATTTCGTCTCGATGGACATTTTGACACGGGTGTCACGTGGCCTATTGGACATTTTGACTCGATGGACATTTCGTCTCGTTGGACATTTTGACCAGAAGCCCGCATAGTACGGGGATTAGCAAGCGCCCGTGACGTGAACCAGGGTAACGTCAAAACACGGTGGCGTATAATCCAATACCTGGAGAAGATATGCGTCATGGGAGTACACCAAAACAGCAATGTCATATTGCCAACTTTGACGCTACTGGTGAAAAACGTCGGAGGCTCCAAGCTTTCCATGTGCTTTTTGCAAACACCATATCGAACCTGACGTTCGAAGAAATTTCCTTTTCTCGCGGGAACGATGGGGCAATGCCGAGGCTCTCGGCGGAGTACGGAGATTGGCACGCATGCGCAGTGCGGCGCACGTAACCTGGAATGGCGATGACGTTTGCTCTTTTCTCTGGATGAAATCTCCGTCGTGTAAATACACCATTAGGAGTTAAGGTGGCGATGCAGGCGAGTTGGTTCATGACTTAAGAAACTGGGAACAGCGCGGAAAAAAGACGAGGACAACGAGAGTAGAGCACAGGACAAGCGCTGACTATCAACCGAAGTTTTATTAAAAACGGCTCAAACAATATAACACCACAAAGCCAACCAACGCCGTAACAACCAATGGCTTGTCGCTCACCAGGCATTGATAAAATATATCTTTTTTTTTTTGTTGAAGATGAACCGAAGGCTAGCTGACGCAGTGCCCCCAGCCAGCTTTTTCTATTGCATGCACCTCGAGCACCTCTTTTTTGCACGTTTGTACATTCCCTGCCAATGCACGTATAAGCGACCTCCTTTCATTGACCGCAGGGAAACGCCACGTCCACGCATTCTCTCACAGACACACCGTCCCGATTGTCCTATATAAACCCGGCCGCGTGACAACGGGATTTTGTAGATGATTCAGACCACTCAATCCACGAACCTGTTGACATGTTAGGAGCTTCACGATGAGAGGTAGATGACGACATGAAAAAGCCGGTTCTCGCAAGCAGGGCTACGCGAACAACAAACTCCGATATAGGCAAGATTTAGTGTAACATTTCCCCCAAACTATCGTACTTACACGCCGACGTTGTTAAAAAGAAGTTGGATATTATTCGGGGAAGTTAGGCAGATAACTCGAAAGGTAGGGTTCTAATCGGGGAGTCAAAAGTTGACCACGAAGTTCTATCACTAGATTAAAGAATAGTATAAAAATAGCCAAAAAAGAGAGCCATCTTGTGGCGGTGCTAAATTAAGGGGGAACTGTACATTTCCCGCGTGTATGCAAGTTTCCAGTTTTAAAAGGATAAGAAAAAAAGATAAGAAGCCTTAAATGAGCCAGTAGGCATTGCATGCGTGGAGAAGGGGTAGTTGGAAAAGTGCGAAATTCCTAACTAGTAGGCATCTCGGCGCATCAATAATAACTTGTTTTTCTAAGTGCCTTTCTATCTGACATTAAAATTTCAGAGTGTCGTATTTATAAGCTTGGTCTTATTGACATAAGGAAATTTCAGATTTTTTTTATCTCAACTCAGGCACCGAATTTTTTTGAAGAATACAGGTTCGGGGGGAATTTTTGAAATAAATGATAGTGCAAAAAGCAAGCTTGACGGATTTTTTTGAAGTCATTGACAACTTAAGTGGCCAAGCCGAAAACTATAATGTTTCTTCCAGTTGTCAGAGATCAGATGTTTGACCGCTCGCCACGCTTTCACTTTTCACACTACTGAAAAATAACTACTCTGTGACATATTAAAAATAGATATTATGACACTGAACAGAATTTAAAAAGCTAATATTCATACGGAATTTGTTGTAATATTTAATGAAAAAATGGCGACCGACAGAGCTCTCGAACGCATTGAGCTTTATAGCGCTCGTTACCGAAAACGGGCGAAATTGGGAACCATTATCCCATAAATATTTCAGAAAATCAATTTTCATTTTCAAATTAGACATCTGTTAGTACTGACACTGTGGCACCAACTTGTGTTTGAAGCGTGCCGAATTGCGAGCACTTAAAAACAGACATTAAAGAAAAACATTGTCACTGGGCGAACAAATGGCTAAGATGTCACCGCCCAAGCAAAAAAAAAAAGCACGTGTGTTTGCACACTTCATCTTTCCAGTAACGAGCGCCGTATAGCGTTTTTTTTTTTTCGAGCACTTTAAACTGAGACAAACCATCACTGTTGTGCTCTAGCGCTTTTATCCTTCGTAAGTCTTTTTATATATTTATTTTCACTTTCGTTTTTGTATTTTTCTTAGCAAAAAACTGCCACGTATTTTTTCTCTCGAGATTTTTATTACCCATGCACTTGCCATGTGTTTTAATTATGTTTTCATTGTAATTATGTTTTAATAAGATTGGTTGCCTTTTTATTCCTTTGAATTTTCGGCAACAACTTCTTTGCGGATGTTTTCACACCACACTGTCAAAGAAAACGAAGTCTCATAGGCAAAAGAGATACCTACAAAACTAATACAATAACAACAACTACATCATGCCCCACAAAAAGAAAACAAGAGTAATTTCCTTTTCTTGCTTTTTTTCGCAAAAATAAATTACGCATCAGTGAACGCTCATTCTTGACCCAAATAGCTGGTCCAAACAAGATGCCAATGTATCAGCACTGACGATCATTTTATTCGGGACTTATAAATTATAAGTGATTTTCTCAAAACATTAATGGGAAAATGGGGCCCATTTTGATTAACATGTTAAAGGGCGCGAACAAACAGGACGAAAAAGAGACACGTACGACACGGACAGGCGCCATAGGGCCCATTTTCGCCCGGTTTTTGTTGACTGGCGCCATAGAGATCCATGTACGCATTTGAGAGCTTTGTCAGCCGCCATTTTTGCATTGAAAATATCAGAAAATCGCGTCGTTTGAATAGTATAAGGGTTAGTGTTGAAACTTTTGGCGTCTGGTTTGAACGGCTGGAGCTATACACTTTGGCGGAGAATGAGGATTCGGCGACGCGTAGTCGATCCTTCGATCCTTCCAGCGGCAAAACAAAAATCATATGCATCTTTCTCAAGGGACGCCATAAACGACAACGATAGCTGAGGGATGGTATTTCCACAAAATGTTTCCTTGCTCTCTCGTCTCTAAAAATGATATCTCAAAGACTAAAGTCGTAATTGACTCATTATCCAAACGCGTTACAAATTCTAACCTCTTCCTCGGCTGCTAAACCGAAATTCGGATCCAGTTCACTGTACCTCGGGATTCACAAGACGAATAACGACGATCTACTTATTTCGTTGTTGATTGATGCGTATCTTGACCGACATGATGCGATAAATGAACGATTACCGTTCTCTTTTCCCCTTCCATGTGAACAACCAAGAGCGAAATAACGGCATTACTGTGTGGTGTCACTACATGGCGTTCCTCCAAGTCGTTGAACCAGAAAAGCTATCACGTCACTTATGCTTCGCTGGGTCACGAGTGATGCCGGACGATATACGTATATGGAAACATACCAGCCGCACAGTCCCGGCAACCTGGAGGGAAACATAATGAACACGATCACAGCACAACTGCAACTAACATTTACTAATTAGCTGCTACTTAAGATGTCTGCATGAAATGAAATGAAATCGATTGAAATCAAATCGGCGGCAACGCACTGGGAGCAAAAGTAAGCGCCTGCTCAGAAAACTACTGGAAAAGAGGCTCATTACTTTGGCCCAAGCAGGAGTGAAGTTAATGTCTGGACAGAACTAAAATGCCAGTGATTATACAATGTAACAGCATTGTACAAACTCTGAAAGTCCGAGTGTAGCTTCTTTTACGCTTGCTGTTTTAGAGGAGCGGAGCATAATAAAGACGACCTTTGAACGTCAAGTGAGCTGCATCCTAAGGGTTTGTCACTCCACTACACTAAACTACATCCGAAACAAAATTCCAGCTGTCTTAAAAAAACAAGATTGAAAAGGCACGTTAATGCGAGATAATAGATAAATGAGCTCGTGTAAGTAGCTCCAGAAAACGCCACAACTCACTCGTTTTTTTTTCCGTTTTTTTACAATTGCAGCAAGATTCCGGTGGGCCCCTGGTGATGGAAACCACACGGAACAGCCAAAAAGTCTTCGAAGTCATCGGAGTAGTTTCCTTTGGTGTGGGCTGCGGATCACCAAACTTTCCTGGAGTGTATGCCAGGGTTTCCACGTATAGAGACTGGATTTTAAACAAAATGACTCAAGTGCTGCCCGACAGCCAAATAGGCCTGGTCAGGGACTTCTGATATGGGACTAGTCGGCCCTCATCAAAGTTACATGCCAAAAATAATTTTGCGTAACATAGCCCTCGAACTCAGAAAGAACTGTGTGAATGCAGTTAAATATGAAATTTCTTCATTTTTTCTCCCGGTCTAAGAGCTTACATCATGAGATATCTCAAAGATGCCATATATATGCCGAACAAGTTGAGAATATTCTCCACACCATTAAAGAAACAAAAAAAAAAAAACAAAGCATAAGAAACGGGTATGTACTTTTCCATAAAGTGCAGATCTGTTGTGGTTGTTGTTGTTTCAAAACCCTGTTTGCGATTTACGTCCAGAGACCAGTGTCCGAAATCCTCGCCCCCAGCGAGCAGCGAGAAAAATAGGGAATATTAATATTGAATGCAGGCTCTTGTGAAAGGAGGCGGTGCGCATAAAACAAGGTTTTTATTTTTACAGCACTCTTGGTATCGGTGTTGATCTTAGAGCTTCGTGACAATGAATTTCTGACGTTCTTGCACTACGATATCTGTGAAGGTTTCTAAAAAAAAAGAACGGAATTGCGCAAAAAGGCCAGGCCCCCTCCCGCACCCCTCAACCTGTGTCATGGCGTCAGCATGAACAACCATGGTGGTGGCCATGGAACAGAGAGGGCACTGGGCTATACATAAGGTTGTCGAAATTAGCACCAAACAATTTTCACGGCTTTGGATTTTTAGAGGACTTTTTGTGTGTCTGTGTTTTACAGCGATACCTGTTAGTGGAACACTCAGCGATACTGTTAGTGGAACCGTGAGTCACGTGATGTCATGACGTCACTGACACTGTAACGTCACGTGGCATTACGTCGTCATGTCACACCATGACCGCACGTAGAAACGTATACATCAGACTGTTGATAATAAAAACGTAGAACAAAGCGTTTTCGCTAATTATGAAGAAAGGTTCTCGGGTGATAAATCCAATAAAGCTAGGTGGGTGCTAGTCCGGCGATACCAAGGGCTTGAAATTAAGTGGAACTACACGCTTAAAACTTGATTTCGTGAGATTTTAACGCGAGCTCGTGTCGCAGAAAAGTTGACGTTGGCGTACGTGGCGTTGCAACGGAAAAATCCTGATTGGCCGATAGGGTCATGACGTCACAGTCACATGACGTCGCGCGGGAATTTCAATTTCAAACAACCCACAACGTTGAAGTGAAAGTGACGTCAAGCGTGCAATGAAAGTGACTAAAAACTATGACATGTAATGCTTTCCGCGCGCGATCCGTACACATTTGAAACTCCATATTCCGTTGATCGGCCGTCTTGCAGGCGAACACTCGCGAACACTCGCGATTCGCTGTGGCACGTCCAACGGCGCCCTCTCGTGTCTGTGCCGAAGAGTCGTGAAAAGGGAGTATTATGATCTTTGATCCCCTTTTAATAGTGAAATCGCCCGCTTATCAAGGTAATCTTTGGCGTTTTAAGATGCTTAGAGCCCGTATATTTAGTTATGACCATTTTTTCCGCCCATTTAAGACTGGTAACCACTGTGTTCGCTCTTGTAGATCCTTTTTTGCTCGAACTTATCGACAAACTGTGTAGAGGGTCTCTCGAAGCGCCAGTGGAGATCGGTGGCTGCAAATGTTCCTACGAAAACTTGGCAGATGACGGAGAGCCTCCAACAAACATTTAAATGTTGGAGTGAACCACGAGTTCTTAATCATGGCCTCCGAGATACTTAGCGCGCAAAGCTCTCCTACGGTACTTGCAAACGCTCTCTTGCCAAGCTGGAGGAGCGTATGCCGCAGCCTTTCAAGAGCTCCGGAACACGGTGGCGATAAACCGTCATTCATGATGCTGAGGTCGGCATCATGAACTACAATGGCGACGATGACGACAAGATATTCCGGATGGCCGCAGATCCACGTTTCAAGCCCTGGGCATGAATTCCTTGGGGTTGTCAGCCGCCTACTTCAGCAGGGCCACTTCCTGCAGCTGACTGCCTTCACCGAAGGAGGCGACCGCACCACCACACACATCGAGATTGCCAGGGTTTTGCCATCTGAAAAGACTATTTCAGCCAAACAAGCGCCTTTTTATCAGGGCAACTAACGAAGCAAGCTCCATGACGGTGATCTCCGGCTCTGTACCAGCTCCACAGTGCGACAGAAACACACTCGAGCCATTTCTTTCTTTGCCAGTTTCTCCACACAATTGGAATGGCCGGAAGAGAGCTTTTCCCTCCAATAATCTCGGAAAGCACGACTTAAATTCGTGCTTAAAAGTGACAGCGCGAGGTATTGGCACCTTCCGCTAGCAACTCGACGATGATGGAATAACAGATCTGAAAGTCTCGAAAATAAAAACTTTGAATTGTGGGGTCGGAGGGAACCGATGTGCACTATGATACTTCAAATAAATATATCTTTGGGATTTCGTCTTTCTCACTCTGTAGTGTTTGACAGTGTAATATTGTTTCTTGAACAAAAGTTTGTTAACAGGAGACTTCTATATTTGTAATTTGGAGACTGACAGGCACTCCGTACAAAAGAAACAAAATTAAGTCGATAGCGAAGCATGAAATGCAAAGTAAAAACATATAGTCTAATATTGTAGTTCCTTATGTATCATGTATCGTTTTTACAGTTTAGGTCTAGAAACACCTTCACCTCAAGTAAATTGACGAATTGTTTTTCGATAGGTTACCTTTTCGACGAGTTTTCATTTCGGTAAAGGGGCCTGGGACGAGTTTACCTTTTCGAGAAGTTGGCATTAGACGAGTTAGGTATACAAGCAATTTGCTTAAAGCGGAGTGAACGGGTTCTCTTTCGAGTCGATAAATGCTTGTCTGGTCTGCGGTTGAGCTAGTTCTTTGTAAATGAAGCTAGCAAGCGTTTGTAAATGCACGTATCTGGGTGAAATTGATAGACATTGCTATATGGAGATCAAATTTAATTAATCGTGCATGGCCCCCGCAATTGCAAGCTTGCTGAAGCTATTTTTACGCTCGTGCTGCACGTGTTGCACTCGCGGGGCGCCAACCGGGACGCCATGCGTGTAATTGGCTCTAATTAAGGTTGCGTGCTTTTAAATAGAGCGACACCGATTTATCCGAAAAACTCCAAATTTTGAGGTCACGATGACAAAAAAAAAAAAAAGACAGTCTTTTACGAACAAACATCGTCAGAGCACACAGTTAGTGGGCCTAAAAAAGCCAATGAAGTTGTTTTTGTTTTTGTTTTCCTCTTTTACTGTTAACAAAATGGAATTTCCTGTTTATCTCGTCAACGTTCGTTCAGTACAATGGGCAAAGGAAGTTCTGGACGACGACAAAGGCCACTCTTCCACTTTTTAGTTTTTACCATACTATTTGTGTTTCTCACTGCAGTGTTGGAACTAAAACATTACAAGTAACGACGTTACTGGTAACACGTTAGATTATTGACTAACGTCCTAACGTACTCGTTAGAATCCCAAAGGAATAACGAGTAAAGTAATATAGTTATTATTTTACGGTATCTCATATCAAATTCCGTTAGTTACTTTTGATTAAAAATGACCACGTAATCTTTTGAAAACAATTTTTTTTTTTTTGTACATTACGTAAAAGTGACAAAGAAACCCCAACAAAGCTATGCATATAAGCGTCCTTGGTACAGTCTTGGTATAGAAGCTGCTAAGATCACCGTCGCCGTACCCTGAAGGAGCAGCCGTCTCTCTGGAAAGAGCCATCCGTTCAGAAGGCCACCGTCTGCCGCCGCCCGAAGTATTTTGCTTCAGCGTTCCTAGCTACTCCCAGCTGGTCACATCCTTCTCTTCAAAACAAATGTATTCTCATTCTTTCAACAACAGAAAGGATAAAGTTTTGAAGCGTTGTCGTTCTCACTCTTTGAACCAGAACAAGCCTATCAACGGTGGCCGGGTGCTCACATGTCGTTCATTGGAAATGCGACGTTGGTTTTTGAAGGAGTGAGTAAAATAACGCGTATTTTGCCGGATTAACTTGTATACCATAAATATAGTTATATTTTTCGTCCGTTACGTGACATGCATCCGGTCGTTCTTTTCAAAGCGGTTTCTTCCTCACAGGCAGTGTCGTTAGGCAACGTCCGGTTCAACGGATCACGCTCGCGAAGCGTTACGTATTCGAGGATATACATTGCACATCCTGCCGAGGCCAGACAAAGAAGACGGGCTAGCTAAACATGTTTCCTGAGGATATACATTACAGCTGTCAGAATTACGTTCGCGAAGCGTCACGTGTTCGAGGATATACATTACCTATCCTGCCGACAGTGCATTTTTTATCAATCTGATCAATGCAATGTGCATTTATTGGTTAGTATTTTTGGCGTTATTGAAATTTTGAAATGGTATTATTTTCTGTTGTTTCGAATTGCTTATTTATATTGTTGGTTACTGGCTTATGCGGTTCGTGTACGCTTCCAAGGTATAAATGGGATCTGTACCCCACTCCTCTGCTAATATGGTGCGGCGCTGCAAAGTTCAAATAAATAAATAAATAATCACTCTGAACAAGTGTATTGTTGCCAAAGTTTATAGAGGTGGTTTACTATAAAAAGAAGTGATATACTAACAGTGAAACACGAAGTAACGACAAACTAACATAAAAGTAACGCCCGTTAGACATGACAAGTAACGACACCAGTATTCCGTTACATTTGCAAAATGTTAACGGACCTCTGTAACGCGTTAACTTTTTTCCAAGCTAACGTGTAACGCCATTTCATTACTTATTTTCGGTATCGGGCACAACACTGCTTCTCAGACGGAGGAAGGGTTGTTTTAATAACAGTAAAAGATGTGCACCTGTCGATTTCAAAGAACGGGGAGATCTACTGAAGGTTTTGTACGCCCAGACGTTTGCCTATATCAAAGTACTTACGCTTATTAAAGAAACGCTTGCTTTCAAGCTTCTTTGTGGGACAATTAATAGTGCCAATCACATGGGTGCAAATGCCAAAGGCAGCAACAGATATATATTTAGATACCGGTTATTTCCTTTATGAATTTAGTGTGCGTATTTGTCCAGAGATTATTTACTTTTATTAAAGAATAATAAGAACAGGGTGAAATTAAACCCCGAATTTCGGAGAACTGGGAATCTAACAAAAATAAACTCTGCCAAACCCCAAATTTTACAAAAAAAAATAAAAAATTAATACCGAAAATACGAAATCCTACATCTAATATATGCAATGCAGTTCCCATGATTGATTCTTTCGATACACTACTTCCAAAAATGTTTGCATGCAACACTGCGCGCGTTGCATTATGGCTCCTCTTCGGCCATGAAGAAGAGAGGCATGGTTTTGATTAAGATTACCCCGTTGGCAAAGTAGTGCATCTCAGCACTGCATGAAACTAAACTCAGCGCTCGCTTGCATTGCTCCCATTTATCTTCGTGAGAGCTTTCGTTGAATCTCTGACTCCAAGTAAGGACCTGCCTAGACTTGGCAAGGAATAGGACTACGGCGAGCCTCGTCCCTTACCTTTCTCGTAGCCTGGCCACCATTTAAAGATTATTTGAATAGGCTATGGATGTTGAGAAGATTCAGCGGGATGATCAGCGGAGTACATTTCTTTCTGTGTTTACATGCGCACAGACTATGGAACGTCGGGAGCTCCCCCCAAAAGACGTGCCCCACAATTCTATCCGTATTACTAGGCCACAGCTACAGTATTATAAGTGTATGTAAAGTCGCATATTCGAAAATGCGTGCACTTTATTTGGTCGTGACGGGATGTCAATAATTGAGGTTGGCAACTCGAAACAGAAACCGTGATCAATGACTTCCCAAGAGGCTTTGCGCGGTACCACGTAGCTAGGCTCGCTATGATTTTGCAAGATGTCTATTGTTGAGAATTTATAAATGAATCGTTCCCGGAGTGAAGAACCACACATGGCTGAAAGCTGAATCTCCTTGAGAATTTGACGCTGTGGGTGGTGATAGAACGGAAAAGTTTGAAACATGACGTAGCCTGAACCAAAGAATAAAAAAGAAAGGCGAAATTTGTCTATGATCCGTCGTGGATATAAGCGTGATATGGCTAAAACAATAATTGACATTTTGAACGCATGTGCCATTCATATTAGTTAAACCAAGTTGGCAAAAAGAAAGATAATATTGTTTTCTTTTTTGCTAACGAGCTTTTGTCCTTATAAAAAATTCTAAAGGCGCCCATAATGTAATTTCGAAGAGAAAGTTTGTCTTCCTATTTTAACTTTTAATCCAGGTAGCGTCTTGTTTTCAAAACTTTGCGTTCTGTCACTCCCTCCTAGCGTCACATTCTCACAAAATATCAGCTTTCTGCGATATGTACGTAATTTACGCGCGTAAAAGAAATACGTTTTCCTTTTATCACTAGCACCCCGCACTTTAAGAGTGCGAAATGTTTAAACAATAAACTTTGAGATCCTGAACTGATTTTCTTCAAAATAGCGTTTTGCGCCGCGGCAAACGCCTGGACAGAAATGTAACGTGATAACTGTAAGACTTAAGTTACAATGTTTTTATATTATTGCCACTTTTTATGTGGACACCCTTCATTATACGAACCCCAAGCCACACTAACAAACTGCCGGAAGAACCACGAAAATATTCAGGATCTTGCCGTTCATGGTCTTTCAGGATCTTGCCGTTCATGGCACTTGTTACATACCATTTTTCCGTTTACAAACAAAGGTCGTATGCACCTATCTCCACTAGGGACCTGGATAGTGGACAAACAGGTACAAAGCCACCGGAAATAAGCAGATGTCCTGGAAGTGAAAACTTGACGGGCTTCTTAATTTTTCCGAGTACTAGTTCGAACAACGTTCAGGGCGCTGAATGGTTTCCTGTCATCTAAAGAGAACCTGCTAGTTGCGCACATTGGATCAAGTGTGGGTATGTCCTACGTTCAGATGCCTTAGTTTAGGAATTTAATTCAAAACGGGATTAGTAAAACTTACTTAAAGACACACAAAAAAAAAACATAAACCAAGACGTCGACTGGATGCACTATAGAAAGCTCAGCAGACGTCCAACCTCCGGGACAAGCATCGAATGTTTGGTTAATTCACTTGCGCCAGGCTCGGAGAGCAGGTATGCGTCATCCAGCCGCATATAGTAGAGAGAAGCGGCCGTATCTGGGCCCCCCTGAAAAGTTCCAGTCAATCCGTTTGGGCAGACCTCCTGAGACTGTTGATGTTTAGATTCCAGGGACAATGAAGTTCTACGGAAATCACGAATTTGGGGATTTAGCGATATCCTTACACTGCGCTATTAAACATATAACAGCAGATCGGTTGTCTTATGGGCGTAACAAAAAGTCTCCAACATGTATCTCGATTACCAGTTCTTTAGCTAACCGCCTGGAGGACTGGTCACAAAATATTCCATAAACGTAAAAAGGAGCAGTGCTGTAGCAGGCATTGTTTGTCCTCTCGTTTGAAAGGAAGTACATGGGGACGTGACATCAGCGTCTCTTTCTGATGCTTTAAAACATAGTGCACGTACAACTATCCAGCACTTATAGCTGGATTTTTTTTCCGGAGTTTTTTTTTCCTTTGCAAAATTTGGGGAGTGTTTTTTTTTTTTTTAGTTTATTACATGCGAAAGTGTCAGGTTTATGCGAGTTTATTTTTGTTACATTCCCCATCGTCCGAGATTCCTCAAAATAAAAAAGGCCCGCTATTTTGTTTTATTTTTAAACCCAATGTTGTCCTCTTCGTATGTATGTTTTTTGGTAGTTTCTGATGTTCAATTGTTCACACGCTGGGGATCATAAAGAGCAACGCGACACGATACTTTATTCATACGGTGATGTTATAAAGTTCGTCATGAAGGCGAAAACTATCGCGTTAGGATTTGCCGTCGAGGCGTGTTATAGTCAACTATTTTCTGAGTGAGTTGAGCGGCGCGATAACTGACAGTGTGCCTTCGTGCTCTATCAAGGAAATGTCAGCACGCGTTCAGTTGGGCGGAGCCATTTTGAATCATGTGGCTAAGTGAGAGCTTTTCTCATATAGCCATTCTTAAGTTAATGTTTTACGGACAGACGAGATGTTGCGGATTGGACATATCTTTGATACTACTAGAATCTGTTCATAGTTTTAACGCTAAGCTCTACTCTACATCGGCATTCACCAACACTGTATCGCGACTAACCTCAATACCATGGAGGGTTAAAGATGTGACCAGGCACAAGCACACCGGACAAAATCCACACCGGAAAAAGGCTCACGAATAAAAGCTCTGCCGTTGTCCGGCAAACTAAAAAAGGAAAGAAAGAAAAACTTTATACATTTGTTGTTGTTGTTGTTTTTTTTTGGGGGGGGGGGGGGGGGTGGGGGGAGGGGGGGAGGGGTGGCGGCGACTGAGACGTAAGTTTAGCCGAAGTAAATCGGGCTAAACTGTGGGCATAGAGGACAAAAACACGCCAAGAATCGTTCGAGTACACTATTCTTTGAACACGTATAACGAAAATATATATGGGTTTTACTTATTCCGGTTCAAAAATAGATTGTTTATTAGCTTGCGTGTTTTGGGGGGACTGGCCTTATAATGCTCAATCTCGGTCGGTGCTGCGACATACAGAACAACTCCAAAATGCCTCGCGTATACACACTGCTTCATTGGCTGAATTGTTTTGATAAAAAGGAGGAGATGGAGAGTGGGGGGCATTCTTCGTATTACTTGAGCTCACTTAAACAAATTGCCCAGTGGAGTATTTTTTTTTCACTGTAAAACCTGAATGTACCGTTTTGACCGGGTCTGTGAAAAATTCAATGGGCTTTGGGCCTTCGAGCTTTCGTTCAGTGAGATTCGGAATTCGGTTTAACACCCTTTCTACAGACGATGCGCCTAGAAGAAAACTCGCTGTCGAAGGCATTCTTGTTAACTCCGCACCAGCACCAAACGGGCAAAGTGCAGCGAGTACCTCTTGCTCGTTTGCATTCGGCGAGGACCCTACTCAAGGACGAGACCGCCACAACTCGATGGCGCAATTGAGAAAGAGTATTGCTATGGAGTCATATCCACCAGCGTTGTTCTCTCGAACAACTTCCCGGTGCGAGCGCTGCTAGAAGCGCGTGTCGTTCGGAGTCTCAAACAACATGGCGTGCGCCCTGAGACCTGTTTGGATTCTGCTGCTTTCGCTCTCCGTGTACTACTCGGTTGCTGTCAACGGATCGAGAGGTTTGTGCTTGATAATGAGAATAAGTATGGGAATAGCGTTACTTGTTAATTTGGATGAAAAAAAAAAGTTAAACGTCACTGATTTACGTCGGCTTCTTGAAGATATAAAGAAATTTCATATTATTGAATAACTATCGAGAACGAATTAAAGCCACAATTGCATTAGTCTTGCCTCGCTTTGTACATACGTTGGTTTATTGGCATCAGTGTTGCTCCCGTTACCAAAAACAAGTAACGAAATAGCGCTGCTCGCTAGTTCTTCAAAAATTAATGCGTCACTCTGGTTTCTTAAGGTCCCGCAAATCTAATCAAATACTGATACCGTAACTTCCAAAGATTAGCGAAATTTTCTTTGGCGTTACTTTACACTTCGGTGCTTGGTCGCAGCGATAAGCCGCTGTTGCCAACTTTCACGGTAAGTAAAGTTTGAGAGACCGATTTCTTAATATTTTTATTAGTGGTTTATAAAATTCATAAAATACATCGAAATCCTGGTGGCGCGTTGGCCCATCGAAGGAATAAAAAATGTGACTATAGTTTTAATTGAGGGAAACAGGTGACGCAATCTGTTAGACAATCTAGAAAGATGGTAACAAAACTGATTTAATCGCTAGTCAATTCTAATTCCAAGGAGAATGTTAGAACGTAACTGAAGTACCTCAAACCGCGGTCATATTGCAAATACAAAATACAAAAAGATCGTCCGCAAACGCTGCCTGAGGCGTTTTTTTCTTTTTTTTTTTTTTTTTCTTGTATGACAGTTCTGTCACATTGGTCACAAAAAATTTGTTTGCAGGCACATATGTATGAGCCAAGCCAAGCATACTTCAAACACACTTGAGGCGTGTCCACCGATACGCCTGTCATCGTGTTCTGTGTGTGATGTATGAGCAGTGGGATGCAACTTAACGCAATACGAGTAACGTCATTACATTTAACACGTTACTTCCAACGCGATTAAGCATTTGAATAGTTGGGTGTTTCCCCAGTACCATGACCCGGTAACAAGCTTCCACAACAGTTGCACTTTTGGTATAGCTTTGTTCCACGCTGCTTATTTTTGGTTTTGTTTTATCTGTTTCTTTCGCGACCTCCAGTGCGCCGTGACTCGTGTCGTGCTAGACACCTGAGCCGGGCCGAGACGGTGGACGGCCGCTGCATGCCAGTCCAGGAATGCATCCAGACCCTGAAGGACGTGGGCAGGCTCAGGTCTCCCATATTCTGCGGAATTCACGGTTTGCGGCCCATCGTGTGCTGCCCTCAACCCGAAGAGCCGACGACGACTAGCGCCACCGTCACGACAACTACAGAGACGAGTACGTCGCCAACTTCAGCCGAGTTGGACATGGGTAAGTGCGGCATCTATGGGGTGCTGTGGTGCACGAAAAAATCTGTCGCATTTCCCGCGTCAAGGACGATAATGGGACACTTCTGATTTTGGGTGACAAGTGTGGGGGAGGGAAGTATGGACCATTCTTTTCGTAATTGGTTATGAAGGAGATCGTGACCATATTTATGAGTTTTAAACATGGATTATACAAGTCATTCTCGCATGAGTGAGAAGTAGTGAAACAATGAACTGGTACTCATTATTATCGTTCCTATAGTCTGTTACAAGTCAAGAAGGTAGGAGAAGCTCCTCCCACAAGTGTGATGCGCCCGTTTCAAATTTCTCCGCAGTCGAAAGAAGAGTTCGCTGGAAACGCTCCTTGTTCCGCTTCAATGGATTCCAACTTGTCTCCGATCCCACTTTTTAAGAAAGCGACCTTTATATTCATTCGAGAGGGAACCGAGCCCCTGAAAGCAGCCTTTGTATCCATCGGGGGGGAAGCTAATCCCCGAAAGTCGTATTTGTTTCCGTCGGTGGGGGAAAACTCTAATCTCCCTCTCGTGGCTTCCACAATGCTAAGTCGAAGTCCAAAGATAAAGCAAATATGTACAGAAAGGCAAGACCCTCCTCGCGCGTTGGCCGCGACGTCACGGAAACGATGGGACGCTATTGGATGCGGAGGTGGCGGAGAGATATAGGATTCCCTTTGAGGGGCATTTGCCGCTACCTTCTTAACCTGTAACCGACTATAGCAGGTCAGTAGAAGCAGGACACTCCCTTCGGTCTTTGTGGGTACCCAGTCACCACACGTACTATCGTGGACACCATTAGTCATGACGATTCAGCCGTGGCCGTTCCGTACCCGCCAGCACCACATAGGAAGGACACTCTCGAACACCGCGTCTACCTCACTTACCTTGTGTGGCAGGATTGCTCTTCCACGTTTCGATAGTACGCTCTCCTTCTTGTCTGCTTGGCGCAAAGCAGACACCGCCACAGCACTTCCCGATGTTTGCTTCACCGGCTTCTGTGCATGCCCTTCTGGATGACCAAATGCGCTGACTCATGGAAACGAGTCTATCAAATATACAAAGAAGGGGACACACCGAGCTAAGCATAATTAGTAGCGCTGAGCAATCGATCGATTAACCTACCAATTAATCGATTAATGATTTAATAGCGATTAATTTTACGAGCCGGTTAATTGCCAAAATTTTAACGACCCAAAAGAGAGTAAATATTAAATGCTCTCACCACAATGACATGGTCATACATGGAGAAAAAAGTGTAGGTCAAATTTTAAGCAAAAATAGTGTCATGGCGAGATTTGTAACTCCAGCAAAGTGCAGAAGGTTACACGGGTCCCGGCCACTTCAACGCCGTGCGAAGGTACGTTTAGGGCAGCAGAAACTTTTGTGAACAATCAAAGGAGGCCGCTCTTGTTGTAGAACATCAACAAACTTGCTTGCCTCATGCAGCTGAGGTAATTATCTGTACGTATAAGTGTCTTTAAACTGTTTTCAACTTCGTATTGAAGTTGACTTACAATAGAAATTGTATTTTGCGGTTAAAGCAAGTATGCAGGTGAGCTGGTAAAGGATAACCTGGGAAGAAGAAGACAAAAAAAAAATAGGACACATAGACACGAAACTTTGAAGAGTTTTGGAGTTTCGTGTCCGTCCGACCCTTTGTTTCTTGTCCCCTGGCTCCAGGGTTACTATGTCTTTTTTGCGCCTTTTTTACATAGCCAAGAAAGACAAAAATTATGTAATTTTGAGTTCTTGAACAATACAATGCATAGGAATGAACCAAACCCATTAATTGGTTAATTAATAGATTAATGGTTGGCAATAAATCGAGTTGACATTTTTAATCGACGCCCAGCCCTAATAATTTCCTCAGCAATTCTGCCAAGAAATAACCATGAATAGGCGTCTGTTCGATTAATAGAAGAAATCTACCGAGATTTGTATTCTATCTTCGACAAGGATTATGCTTAGCTCGGTATGCCCCCATGGTTGGTGGTTTGGTTAACTCGTCTCCATGAATCAGGGAATCTCCGTACCGAAAGAGGCACCCGCCAAGCCTTTGAAACAGACATCGGCAAGTTTTGTGGCGGCGTCTGCTTTGCGTCTAGCAGACGACAAGCGGATAGCAGTCGCATCCGGGAAAACTAATTCCACCGCACAGGGCAGGCGGGGTAGGCGCGGCGCTTCAGAGTGTGCCTGATAGGTGGCGCTGGGAGTATACTGAACGGCCACGGCTGCCGTTTTATAGCTAATAGTGTCCGCTAAAGTACATCATAGCAACGTAATATAGGCTGGTGCCAGATATGCGCATTAGTTGGGCAAAAAACTTAACAGTTCTCTATTGTTCACTTGTATATTTATTTCCATACAGCGGCACACAGATGTGGTCCCTAAAAATATAAGAATAGATATAAACTGGAGTTTTTTTTTAACTCTTATCTGATAAACAGGAGCACTATTTCGCCGTCAGTAGTAATCACGTCTGCATAAACCATCAAGCGACGCAAGCTCCAGAATTCAATCTGACAAAGTAAATTCGGTAATTGCCCGAGGTAAAAAATAACACTTGATAACATCATGTTCCAATTTGGATTGTTTTGATTCCCTATGATCTAATCTAGATGAAGAGGCTGTTAAAAAGTTTTATATATTACTTTTTTACCATTAAACATTTAATTGCCATAATAATGCGGAGCGTAGGAACGATATATATTCTCCAATACATCGGCACGGCAGAAATTCAGCGAAGACATTTTATGCCAATATGTTGCGCATCTCTATGGGCTTGTAGATGTGGGACATGTATCCTACGTTTTATCTTTCAAGTGACCTGTCTCCGTGGGCGGAAGAAATTATACATCGATCAGGACTTGATTTCGTCAATATACAGATATTTCTTCACTGGATCGAAGAGCAAGCAGATAAAAAATTACCAGGCTGCGTCTGCCCCCATTTACCATCGAACATAATTTATATCAATGCGAAGTTTACGAGAAATAAAAGTGCCATGGAAAATAAATTTAGAGTGAATAAATGGCAGACTATTTCTATACTACAAGGTACTCGGCGCATAAAATTCCCAACATGAAAAGTTGAAGGCCGCTGAGTTGCTTTTGTGTTTGCTTTCAGGAGCACGACTCGACTCTTGCCTCATGATGATGAATTCTTCCCACTGAGCAGGGCAGTCTGTCTTTTCTTTTTTGCTTTTCTATTTTCTTTTTTTCTCTTCCTCCTGTGCAAGGTTATCAATTGGGACGCCCTTGCCAAATGAATATTGTGGCGTGTTTGTTTAGACAGCGTGAAGTTAGTCAGCCTCAATGGCCGTCCGTTGGCTCAGCTGTTGATGAAATATTTAACCAGGCCAGTACCCCATCAAGACTTGGGTCTTAAGGAGCCTCGAGTTTTAGTGATACCAGATCGCACACTGGTGCTATGATGATCCAGATCGGATTGATCAGGGGTAAGGATTCACATGATTAAGGTGAGCGTGTTGAAATGTAGACGATTAAAATCGAAAGACCAACCAAACGATTATGCAAATATCCCGCAAGGAAATTTCGAGGGAACTACGCGTCTTTTCAGCGGTGCAGCCCGGGTTCATCGGAAGGTTGTTTGGAACAGCCTACACGAATCATCCTTTGTACATTTTTCTGCAGTAAGCCGCCCAACAGCTTTTATAGTTATCTTGGACAAAGATCGCTTCTCAATGCCGTCTGCAAAACAGGGCAGAAGCATTCACAGTCAAGTTTGCAGCTCCAACCTACATCACAGAAGCAAAACTATCGTCAGACACAAAGCCTCTCCTCGCAAAAGAACCCAAGTTCTCCCCAGACATCCCGGTCGCGAAGGTTGACAAATTAGCAGCCGTCCACTATGCCGCACCTGTCATAGCAAAGCAAGAACGACCGGATTTCTTGGGGGCAACGACTCGCTAGGTCTGTTTCTATCCTGCTCTTTGGCCGAAGGCACGTGGCAAAATTCGTTCCGCTCTAACCAAAATGCGTGAGAACAACCTCAAACTCCTCCGGGCCTACAAAGCAGGGGTATTTGTTGTAATCGATGATGGCAAGTATAAGACAAAGGCCAACGCCGCCGTGGAAAAGAATTTTACAGCGTTGAAAAATCGGCCATCGGGGTCGCTCCGCAACAAGCTAAAATAACCGTGCACCAAACTAAACCTTCCGAAATCAAAAAGTTCTGTAACAGCTCCAGCCAAGCAGCACCTGCAAGCGTTCTTCTTCGCAAAGACACACAAGCCGGACATTCCCTTCCGCACAATCGTATAAGACAGAGGGTGTTGTAAGAGGCATTATTTTTTCCTTTAAAAACATACCTCCATAGTACTTCCCTCACAGCCGTTTTGCATTAGACATTATCAAGAGCTTATCACCGTCATCGAGCTTCTTTACGTTTCCGTATCTGATATCGCCTCCTTCTCGTTCGATATAGAAGACATGTATTACAACTTGGACATCCCATTTAAGCAGTTAACGAACATGGACTCCGCAGCTTCCAGAACTCACCTAAAATTTCGCTTTTTGGGCTCATCGAGTTTCTACAGCTCGATAAATGAAATGCAAATTCCGAATAAAGAAATCAATAAAAAAAAGTCTATATGATGGAGGATGAAGGGAACATCTGGCTTAGGAAATAAAAAAATTCAAATTGGACGTTTTAGTGATTTATACAGCGTAAAATCGGTCTGCCAGTAGGGGCGACACTGGTTTACACTGTAGATGAGCAAGTTCGCCAGTGCCGTAGGACTGCTAACATGGGGTCTTTAACGTGCTCACGCAGTAGTGATACACGACCGAACGCCGGAACGATGCTCATCTAGATCGAAACGGGCAGGGGTGGGGCTTGAATCTGACTTAAAAAATGTGGAATTTGCATAGGATTTCGTCTTGCGCCCGTGCTAAGCGAGATATTGTCTTAGGTTCACAAAACCACAGAGAAGGAGCTGAAGAACACACTACCACGATGCCAGGTGTTCCGGTACGTCGACTACTATCTGGTTCTTCACCCTCGAACCATCAAAATGGAGGCCATTTTGCCCTCATTTGGACGTGCAGGAGGCAACCTAAAATTCAAGAGGGAGAACCCGTCGTCAAAAGAACTGCAATTTCTGAAAATCCAGCTGATGGAGACGAACGACGGTGTCTGCTGGGCTTTCTGGTAACGCTCGGAAAAGCCAGTGCTTCCATTTAGGAGCGAACACCCATAGTCGGTCAAACAAAGTCTCATCAAAGCATTACTCACTTCAGCAAAAACAAAATCTCTTCCGCATTCGGCAACTGAAAGCTTAAAGAGCCATACCAGTCAACTACTGAGATCTTGATTTTCTGTTGAACTATAAGCTATTGAAAACTAGATACGAGGCGTATCTAGTTTTCAATAGCTTATCACCTTAGAAACTGCCAGAAGCCCACCTCTCACACGAAGAAGGATCGCTTGCGTTCCTTACATTCTCAACGTATCCTACCACATCCGGTCTATCGCCTTCCGCTTTGACACCGGGAGTTGTCTTTCCCTACCGGTTTAAATTGATTGGCAAGTACGTGCAACATGATCAACCAACCGGAAAGAGAAGAACCCGCAATGCGAAAAGAAGCAAGCCACACAATTCCGGCCTTCCGGCACAAAAAAACTGTACTCGGTGCCCCCCAAGTGCAGAGCAGAACATATCGGACAAACAGGCAGGTGCATAAGCGACCGCCTGCGAGAACGTCAAAACGAGGTCACACCCAAGAGCACTCAAGTCATCCGATCGCGGTTCACGCAAAAGGTTGCTTCGGATGCCAACCTGATCTCAAGTTCATAGATAAGACATTCCAACAAGTGACGACACTCCTTGAAGCGCCGACTGCGTGACGGTGCATATTTTAGGAAGCGAATAGCGGCGCACAGACGAAGAGTGAGGTGAATGACGCCATTTTGTTCCTACGAAATGTGCTTTGTCGTTCGTTAGCGTTTCTTGTAAAACGAGCATCAAGGAAATTTAGGGACACCGAGACCGCTATGGACGCGGAATCATCGAGTCATGATCATACGTCGTTAAGACATCACGAGTATTGTCTCGTCCTCGTCCTTCGTGAAGATTGAACCCAAACTTTCTGGGCTCTGCAGGTCGAGTTTTCGATCCACGTGCTCCGAGTTGCGGTGCAGTAACAAACTCGTCTAATGATCTCCTCGAATTTGCCAGGTAGACTTCTTTGCATTTTTCGACAGTTGTTCTTTCCTGTATGAGCCTCCCCCTACGGCCACTAGACATGTGTCGTAATACTTTACTTCTAATTACGAACAACTGAAATAGAAGTACCGGGAACAAATGCGTCAGACATGTCGTTCCGAGTTTGGTTTTCTAGTGTATGCGCCTTCTAACACAATATTTTTCCGCTAGCAACAATCATTACTTCAAGGTAGAACCTCTCGCTCCAAAAGTGTGACTACACTGGATTGAGTTTTACACTTTAAATGCTGGTTCCCGCATTTGCGTTTGAGTGTGATCCACTACGCAGCAACCGGTCGTGTCTGTTTTCAACGAGAGAACACACTGGCGCCATTTATTGTGGAGCCCCCGAACTTTCGATTTGCGTTTCTTTTACGCCCTATTTTTTTTTTTTTTTTTGGTCGAGGGTTTGATATCACTATTACAATGTTATAAACGACCATTCATCTTATATAGCACGTAGATTAATCTCGAACGTAGCGCAAAAACTTCAGTCTAGCTGTATGCAGATTTCAATTGTTCTTGATACGGTCGTGCAAGTAGTGGGTTGAATCAAAGAAAACTGGGTCAAACAATCCAGGATAACTTTTTTTCTGCAGTGTTGAAGAAAAACTTGAGACTCGGCTATTCGATTGTTGGTTTATTTTGGTGTGCAGAGAAAGGGGGAGGCAGGAGATATGCACTATCCGATTCAGACCACAATCTGCGCTCTCCTAGTTCCAGGGATGCCAGATATGTGCCGCCAGTATGCGAACATGTTCTCGCCTTGTGAACCTTTACAAGCGGCTGTTACTCAGTCGATCACACGTAAAAGAAGCAAATGTGTGAGCCAGTCTTTAGTCGTGAACACATACGACATCTATCTCTTGGTTTCAGGTTCGTGCCTGACAGAGAGCGGGCAGCAAGGCACGTGCCTTCCGCTGTTCAACTGCACGGAACTCGAGGAGCAGATGAGCCAGGGCAGGTACCCTCCCCTTTGTAGCATCCAGAGTCGCGTACCCTACGCCTGCTGCCCACGCAATGAGACTGCGCCGGTGGAACCCATCAAGCTTGACATCACGGCTCGCGCCCTCAAGACATCTGAGCTCGACTACGAGAACGGTTTATGTAAGTATATAGTACCAAGGTTCTCACTTTGCTTTGTAATCTCTGGATGGTGAATTACTATCCACTCAGTAAATGAGAGTCGTCTATAGTGGTCTATGACTTTATCTTGATCTTATTCCAAAAATCAGATCTCTGCGCAAGAGTGCTTCGGACGCTAAAAGCAAAGCGCGATCATTGCAAAATTATTCTTATAATTATTATTATTTTTGCGTGGAGACTTTCCTTAAACGTTGCCTGAAGTATGTATGATTGTGTGGGTGTGAACACTATCAAAAGAATAAATGAGTTGGAAAGTGCCACTCGAATCCTGCAAAAGTAATGAAGCGGAATTGTGTATAGCATTCAGTGCTGTGTCGACTGAAATCGTGTCTTAGGTCGCAGCTGTGAAGCTTATCTAGATTCCAACCAAGAGGAGACGCAGCATAATGTCTACTTTATTTTCAGACTGTGGGAAAACTGAACCCCGACCTGAGGACGAGTTTCTCTTCCCTTTTTATTTTAAGGCGGTAGGAGGGAGAAACGCTGTCCGAGGTTCTTACCCTTTTCCGGTGAGTTTCCCCAATTCAGTGCTTGTATCATAGTCTTCTTCACCCAATGTTGCCGCCTTGGTAGTTCCGAGGCGAAGCGCAAGCTGATGAATCCCCAGCTGGCGGGTTCGAATCCCAGCAGGGGTGCCCACAACCTGACGAATGCTCATTCTGGAGAAGGCGCCATGAAACCGAGAGTCCGGTTGCACTTCAGATGATCCCCAGGCAGCCGTAGTTAACCATCCGTCCTTCGCTGCGGCATGCAAGATGCCATCCGTTGGTTTAGCTCGTGAAAACCGCAGATTTGAGTTAATCCGAGACAGCCAAGACATGCTGTGGGGCGAGAACTATTGTGCAAATTCCGTGCGCTCAAAAGAATGTGGTGGGTTCATTTTACCGCAAAACACTTTGGTGAGCCAATTGCTTCAATAAATTGAGGCAGCGTGGCCAATGATGAGGCTGAATATATGTTTAGACCTAAAAAACAGTCCGCGCTGCGGCAATGAAAATGGTGACAGGTCATGCTCAGTGCAATTGCGTGTGATTGTCCCTGGGCGCTTAAAAACATCTTCTCCCTCGTTATTTGCCGAGCATCCCCCGCAGATTGCGGCGATTGGTTCTCCCAATTACATTGGTAGAAGACAGATGCTCCAGGTTTATAAGAGTTTTATAGTTCATAAATCTCACCAATTGTGCCCATGAGCCAACTTAGATTTTATGGCCGCGATCTCGCGATGTAATTGGCCAGAACGTTATAGCCCAATCACACCGCAACGCCTACGGCTCTTGGTTGCACTGCATCGAATGCGATTTAGCGACGCTACACGTCTTGCTTCTCACTCCGTGCACCTATCCACTCTCTGTGTTGGTCGTGCGCTTTAAACGAGGAAAGGTATAGGGCAGGCAGAACTCGCATTTGTAAATCGACGTCGGTCCCCACACGTCTGCGAACAAAGTCACGCTTCTACAATGTGGATGGCCCTTTGTTAGCCTCGGGGGTCACGTGGTCCTGCACTCTGCTCACCACTAAGTACACAGGGCGGTTGAAGCTGCGTGCTTTGACGGACCAATCAATCGCCTGTTTTTGATCGGCTGACCCTCCGCAGAGAGGGTGATAACGTGTTGAAAAATATAACGTGCTGCAAAAGACTGGTTGGACAAACATCCGGTGCCCCGGGCCCTGTCAGCTTACCGACGAACAAAATGTAAAAGGGAACTAGTCTCTGAGTCCTTTCTCCGAATGCGCCCTTGGGGATCATTCGATGTTCGATTTACATGCGCATTTTCTGGCTCGCAGCAACGAAAAGCACGCGCTTGCCGGTCTGCGATCTAGAGCTATATTACCAAAATCTTTGCACCTGTTACCTACTACATTTCTTTCTATAGTTACAGCTTCATGATCGTTATACTTTTTTCGGCATTCTTGTAGGTGAACGCCGCACTTACAGTAACTACAGAGCGATAGTAAGACGCACCCGACTCGACACTTCCGGCGTTTCTTAAAATACCACTGCGGTCAAAAACGAAACCAAAATAAATGACTCGTATCGCTTTAGTGGCACGAAATATGACCACAGCCGAAGTACTGCGTTAATGTGAAGTTGCGTATTCCACTAAACCCGATTTTAAAGATGCGACCAGCTGCTCTTTAGCGGGCGGCAAGCGGGTTCGCTTTTAGTCGAGGAACACTCGCGCAGCATCCTTGTGACATCACGTTGCGGCTCTACGGCTAATGATCAGTGTTGTCATCTCTTTAAAAGATAGTTTCGCTTTTTGTCATGGACGCCCGAAACCATACTTTGACCCTCTGGCTGCTTTAGCTGAAAACAGTCGTAATGAGTATAAGCGTGCAACGCTGTGCAACGTAGACCCCTGACTGCGCATCTGCACTGTTGTGTTGTGCTTGATTGGCGCCTTGCAAACCGACCACAGTCGTGACTTTTATGCCTTTTTATGTGAGGAGTCGACCCAAGGGAGGTATATAGTGAGATGCAGCAAATAAGAACAGGCGTTTCGACTTGTTAGGGAACTGCGTGTCATTCAGTTGATGGATTGTACAGGATTCATGTCGTTGGTGCATGTCGTGCCTAAGCACTCCATTCAGTTCCATGCAGTTCCGGTGAACAAACAATTTTGTGAAATCGCGCGTGCATATCAGGCGGTAACCCTCAACAGGCGTCTTCCAACATTCTGTGCATTTTTCAACTACTGAAACCCTATTGTTTCGCCAAATTTATGGTATATCAGCATTTTATTTGTCAAACGCTTTTTCGCTATCTTTCTCTTCCCTAAACTTTCTTGTGCCCCTCGCAGGTGGCCATTTTTCGCGACAAACTGAGCGTCGATAACTTCTGGTGTGGAGGTACCCTCATCACGAGAACCGTCGTCTTGTCCGCTGCACATTGCTTCTACAAAACTCCGTGAGTCAACAGGAAGTTATTGCGGGTTCTTTTATTTCGTTTTAGGTGCGCTACACGTAACTTTACGTCTGTTTTACAGTGGGCTGACATTACTCACATTGAACACGTTTGGCTGTGTATATCGGAGGAACCTCACCGAGGCTCTCGTGATAGAGCACCATAACATATTGCACAAAACCTAACCGTGACGTATCTGACAGACCACAACTCAGCAGGTAACTGAGTTAGTGCTTCTTCACTCGTGCGCGTTACAAAAGACATTTCTTAATTTACACTCCAGAGTATCAAAGCAAAACAATTCCCTGTCTTTTCCCGTGTTCTGAAATGAACTGCGGCGATATCCGAGGCATTGCACACTGGCGGCACACTCTAATGCGCGGCTGCACACTCTAATGCACATACGCCGCGCACTGCCATTTTCCCGCTAAATGTAGCGGATCATTGAACATGGTTAAAACTCTCCTACTGTAGCGGAAAATGTTTTTTCCTCTAACTTTAGCGTCGTGACAAAAAAATGCACGAGTCATTTCTTTCACTATACGTCACTGAGTCCCGTCACATTATGACGTCAAGTGGCATCGTGATTCTATAGACCAGTGTCCGATATCCTAGCCCCCAGCGATAAAAATGGAAATAATAATCTCAAACGCAGGCTCTTGTAAAGAGGGGGGGTTGCGCATAAAACAATATTTTTGTTTTTTACAACACTCTTGGCGTCGGAACGGTTCTTGCAGCTTCGTGACTGTGCATTTCTTACGTTCTTGCACTATACTTCGTTTGACCTTATGTCCGAGCGCGGACGATGTTATGAGCCGAAGGGCCAATCAAACAGCGCAAAAAGCGCAACGTCATAGCGTGCTCTCTGCGCTTGATAGGACTAGCCGGCAGAGGAGCACGCACAGAGGGACGGCGAATACCGGCTATTCCTATCAACTGCAGAGAGCACACCATGACGTCGTGCCTTTTTCGCTGTTTGATTGGCCCTTCGGCTCATAATATCGGCCGCGCTCGGACCTAGGCTGAAACGAAATATACGATATGGGCAAAGGTTTCTAAAGGAAACTGAGCCTTTCAAAAAAACGCAGCCCCCCTTCTGTGTCATGACGTCAGCATAAACGAACATGGCGGCGCCCATGGAACAGAGCAGACACTGGTCTATATACAAGATATACACCCTGTGATCCGCTCCGGAACAAACCAATAGCGAGTTTTTTTTAGAATAGCGTATACGCGAAAAAAAAAAACTTTTCCTACGCAAACAGCGTCGTCGCCATTGTGCACCCGCCGCGAGCCCAAACCGCGTTTTCGATTGGCGCACGGTGACGACGCTATTTCCTTGTGTAAGCAGCGCTCTTGCGCACGCTAGTCTAAAACTCGCTTTAAACTCCGTTGAGCTCCAGGTCCCACCAATCCCGTATAGCCAATCCAGTAACGCCAAAAGTGCACCATCACGGCGCGACATCGTCTTTCCGTTATGTCATCATCGGCTATAGACGTTTTCCGGTTTTTTGGTGCTTTCAGTCATGGGGATTCCGTCTCTGGTATGCGGAACGAAAAAAATAATGAAATATATCGAGCTGGAATTTGCGAGGAAATATAGGGGAGGCAAAACAAGAGTATGTGAAAATCGCGCATTTTTCGTAACGTAAAACGAGGCTTTACCGCATTCCAGAAGTTACGACATTTAAAATGGCTGCGCCCTTGTGGAAACGGTGTATATTCGATTTGCATCGCTTACCACCAGGGCGAAGAATGTTGAGTCACTTAGCTGTGGACGCATGCGCAGCGTCTGATAAGCCGCACAGCGACGCTACAGCGAATGTTCAGAAGGCGTTCCACAGCCCAGCAGACAAAGATCACGGCGCGCAGGAGGCGATTTTTGCGAAAGTCTATACCAAAAGCACGGAGAAAACCCGCAAACTCTAGGCGCATTCACTCTGCTTGATTGATATGGTCGGTAATAGCAAAGGTACAAAAGCGACGAGCGCCGTGACAATGCACTTTTTTGGCGCTGCTTCAACGGATCCATCGGATTGTAGCAAACTGCCGTCGGACTTAAAGTGAAACGGAAGATAATAACGGCGCGATCGTCGCAAAAAAAAAAAAAAGAAAAAAAATTGTTTGCTTCCGCCATTTTGCTGGAATAAAAAAAAAAGTTGTTCTTACGCAGTAACAACACGCGGTACCTGGCCCGTGTCGATGAGGTCAAGCTCTTGAAGGCGAGCAACGTCTCGTCCTTGGAGCGCGATGTCACGTCGATCATCGTACACCCCGACTACAACGAGAGGCAGCACTACGCCGACGTGGCCCTGCTGGTGCTCGATGCGTCGGCACGCCGGACGAGACTAAGGCGACCCTTTGCCTGTCTGCCGGACGCCGCCGCGGAGCCTGACAAAGACCAGGCCATTGTCTTGGGCTGGGGACACAACGGATTTGGTGAGTGCGACAGAAATCGAATCAAAGGTTGGTGAAAACGGCACTGCGGTCACCTAGAGCTGAAAGAAAAAACGCAAACAATGGCAAATCCAGCGTACCTGATCGTTTCTATGCAGCGAACAAGGTTGTTGTTGTTTGGAAAATCTAAGAGCAGGGGTAACTAAACCCCGCGCAGCGGTCCAGATTTAACCCGCAAAAACAACCTGCCCCCCCCCCCCCCCCCCCCCTCCCCGCTGCGGATGGACTGGGGCTTGCGCCCGGCCCGTAACGAGGATATTAGAAGGAATGAGTGAAAGCTGCAATAAAGCGCGGGATCTATCGCCATAATATTTATCTTACATCGCCATCTCCAGCCTTAATATTCGTAGTTCCTTGCCTCATGTCTCCGTGACTAGGGAAAAATTTCTCAGCATTTTTAAGAATATAGACTCATGCGGACCTCGTACTCGTGCGTACATAATATAAATTATATATATATATATATATATATATATATAATGAGAATAGAGCCTAGTGTTCTGTACTGTCGCACAGTTTTATCAGCAGATCTACTGCTCTCATTAGTCTTCTGCCCTCTGTGAAGTCGCCAAATTCCCAATTAGCTTTGATTTAGGCCTGGGGAGTTATCTAGGTCGGAATTATTTTGGAATGTCACGTTTAGCATCATAATAGTGATAGAAGGAAAGTATATGTATTCGTGGTATTCGGGATATTTTCGGACGCCATTACAGGAAGCAGGAAACACTTCCGGTTTTAGTATTTTTTGCATGCTTTTAACAGGCAACATCACCTCTATGTATACTGTTTCCCGCAATTGAATCGGTCGTTTGTTATGTTTTCCACGTCCACTTGCTTCATGAAATGCTATAATGCTTTGGCAGATTTTGTTGTTGCAGATTTGACGAAATAAAGGGCAGTGAAGTAACTCGATTAAACGAATTATATTGTTATGCAAATAAATATTTACTGAGAGGTTAATTATTACTCGCCGCTTCTGGACATTCAGATGTTCAACATTTTAACTTCATATTTTAGCCCGAAACCAAATTTTTATTACACAAACCAACTGCATTAAAATATTTAATAACCAAAACATACTTGTGTTGTTGTTTTTTTTCATTATTTTAGAGTAGGATCACTGGCTGATGCTAACTTCCGAGTGTTTGTGAACTTGTGAACACACCGTGTATGCGAGAGTCCTGAATAAACATAATCAAAAACACACAAATAAACTATATTGTTTTTTTTTTCTTTTTTTTTTGGCGGGGGAATGCGAAGGTTTTTTTTTTTTTTTTTTTTTCACATGAAACCGAACCTGAGGTTCGGTTTCACGTGAATTTTAGACACGTCATCATGTGAAACCGAACCTGAGGTTCGGTTTCACGTGAATTTTAGACACGTCATCATGAAAGATGTGTTGTCCCGTCCCCTGTATTTACGTGTATAACTCTTCCTAAACTTAATCTATCTTGAGGTTCATGGCGCGATTAAAACACGATGGGTAACGTAGCATGAAACCACTGGTACCATCCCTTTGGATTTTATTATTCGCCAACGTCGTCAATCACAACAGCGCTTGTTTGCATCTGACCAAACAGAAGTGTTCGAACAAATGGATTTGTGTCCCAAAGAGTGTCGCGTGATCGTAACAAGTCGGACGCGAAACTAGTTGTCTTACCTTATCGCCTGGTTGTCTTACCTTAACGACCCTGTCTGTAACAATATCCACGTGAATATCATTCACGAGATCGCCGCGGTAAGTCGACGTTGTCACAATCACGGTGTCTCCACTCGTCGTCGAAAGAAAGAGAGAGCTTGCGAAAGAGGAAAAGCTAAAGTGGTATGCCATTGCCAGAAGCCAGATGGTCATCATCAGTTAGGAGGAGGGACGGAAAACGAGCGTCGCAATCGTACACACTGCGGAGGCTTTGTCACAATCACGATCTCTGCACTCGTTGTCGAAGACACACCGCTCACTTTTTCCCTGGCACGGTCGAGCATGCGTGGCACAATCCTTCAGACCTTTTGTGAAGGATTGCGCCTTGTGTCTGTCTTGCCCCGTCTTCGTCCTTGTTGTGTTTGGCGCTGTATACCTTTTAAGACCTTCAGCTACATCCGACAGGCGTAACGTAGTTTCGATTTGGCCAGCTAGAACATTCACGGCGACGACGCGCAGTTGATGAAGCAGCGATATGGTGCTTTCATACGCAGTCTCCTGCATGTCTTGGTTGATTTGTGTGCCTCTAACTTCGCTGAATGTCACACGTGTACACCGCCACGAGGGTTAAATAAAACTTGATCCGGTGCTTTTTTTTTTCTTACCATGATTGGTTCCTAACCATATATTAGTATATTTTACCTCTTGTTTTCGACATACCTTTTCTAAGTTTTCGACGAGAAAAATTTAAAAGACACGCTGCTCATTTTTGCTCGTTGAAACATACACAAGAGGCTGATCAACCGGAAGCATTCTGGGACACCGGAAGTTTCGCTATTGCTTGTTTACGTTTACCTTGGAATACCATGTATTCAGCAGGCTTGTATTTTTTTCAATTTTTGCCCTAGTATAAATTTGTGTATTTGAACGCTTACTTTGGCTTATTTATTTGGTATTTTGTCATTTATCTTGTGTTAAATATTTTCCGGCCCTCGAGTCTGCGATGGGTCCCCAACGCGTTTCCTTAGCCAAAACGTTTAGACCCCTGTTCTTGGATATAGATCCCAAGCCTGGGACGGGAAGCCAATACTGAACGTCCGTTTGTTGCGGCCGCTCGATTCAAAATTACCAAGCCGCTTTCTTGAAGTATATATCCTGAAAGGTTATGTGATATATCCCACCGACACGCTAAAATATTTTAATGGGTCACGTGCGTTTCCGAAAAATATACCGACAGGACCCGCAGGCCTCTCAAGAAACTATGACGGGCCTCATACAATCTTTAGAAATTATTGAAGGCTACGTTAGTTGGCGAAAGCCTTCAGAGTATGCGCCTCGGGGAAGCCGTATATATACCTTAAAAAAGCCAACGAACATCTGAGACTTCTCAGAAATATTTTAAGGCTACGTCAATACCTTTTAAAATTCCTGGCGGGCCACACATACGTTTTCTCAATATGGCAGTGTGTGTACTCCCTAATGCCACGGCGTATGTTCTCACTTGTCAATATGCCCGCGAATGAAGGCCCCGCCGTCTTTGCACGCGCGTGATAGAGGCAGGGAAAAGCGCGATGGAGGGGAAGAGTGCAAGTAAAGAAACAGATGAGGCGCAATCGTTTCGTGTTACAGATGAGAATTTTCAATGGGGGAAAGGGGGGAATGGGTGAGGGGAGGCTGCCGAAATAAATGCTATTACATTTTAAATAATGCGTCAATTTTTCTTCGTGCCTTCAGTTTGCCACAATATAGTACGGATTTTGTTATTCTAAAGCCAAACAACCATACCCGCAGGCGGACGGGTCCAGACCCATCTTCAGGAGGTCAGGGTGCCCCTGGTGGCAAACGACGTCTGCAACGAGTCCTACAGCTCACTCGAAAACTACGCACGGGAGTTCCCCCGAGGCGTCAACGAAGACTTCGTTTGCGCGGGAAACATTACATATGGCGGCGTCGATGCTTGTCAGGTACGAAACCCCTGCGTACATTCCTTTTGTTATCCTCACCCGATCGACATAATAAAATTTAAGTTTTTCATCGCGCATGACGCAAAACTGTGATCTGCCATGAACGTTCCATGAGACGGGAAACAGTTTATTTATTTTTAAATATATTCATAAGAACAGTAAGGCTATCATCATAAACGAATCTAAAATAACCCTATCTTTGTTGCGCACGAGTTTATTGAAACTTGGCGAGATTGCTACCTATGTTTGATTAGCGTTTGCAGACAACTATAAATTTACAGATTACAGGGCTTTGTGTTGGTGTAGGCCCCGATAAAATCACTGGATCCTAGGAAATTAGCGCCATAGCCTTCCGTGCCTGCTAGCTTGACACAAACAGATACTAACACACAGACGACCAGGCTTCGCAAGGGGATTGGCTGATCGGTTTCAGTTGCCACGGCAATCGCCATTTCGCTTCATTCAAATCTTCGAAGCTTCTAAAGGGTCGTTGTAAACAAGTCGCGCCAAGATCTCTGTGCAGCATCATCGTACTGAAAGCGACCTTCGCTAATATAAGTGATTTTAGTACTGTGCATGCCATTCACTTATTGTATATGTTTATCTATTGTTAATTGTCCTTGCTTATTTGAAGACAGGAAACTTTTTAGAGCGCAGCTCTTAGGGGCCCGTTTCCGGCTTGAGCGGCGTCGCCGTCGCCGTCGGCGTAACCAAGGTCACCCCAAGGTCACGTGACCCCCAGGACACGTGACCCCCCAAGGTCACGTGAACCCTCTCAAGGTCACCCCAAGGTCATGTGACCCCGAAGGTCTCGTGACCCCCCGAGATCACGTGGCCCCCAGGTCACGTGGCCCCCTCCCCGAGGTCACGTGACCCCCCCTTCCCCCCGAGGTCAAGTGACCCCCTCCCCCCGAGGTCAAGTGACACCCCCGGAGCACATTAAAGAATGAGGGGAGGAGGAGGAGAAGGAGGAGGAGGGGGAGGGTCTACCCTCCCCTCAGTACCCTTCCCTCCTCCTCAAGAGCTGCGCTCCAACTCGGCGTTACAGGGAGTTGTAAACGGCTTTCACTTTTTTTTGTTTCAATTTCGCCATGCACCGACGTTGCATGCGAAGATGTAAGCTGGTTTCGCCGGTATGTGAATAAAATCTCGGCTTTCAAGACATGCCTTTATAAAGCAACCTGTCGCTGGAAATTGGAATCGGCTCAAGAGGTCAAGGATAAACTTCTTGTTACATGGAGAAAAAAGTGAAAGCCGTTTACAAATCCCTGTAACGCCGAATAGGAGCGCAGCTCTTGAGGAGGAGGAGTGAAGGGTACTGAGGGGAGGGTAGACCCCTCCCCCTTCTCCTCCTCCTCCCCTCATTCTTTAATATGCTCCGGGGGGGGGGGGTGTCACGTGACTTCGGGGAGGGGGTCACGTGACCTCGGGGAGGCGTGACCTGGGGGTGACCTCAAGGCCACGTGACCCCAAAGGTGACCCCCACGTGACCTTGGGGTCACGTGACCTGGAGGGGTCACGTGACCTCAGAGGGGTCACGTGACCTGGGGGTCACGTGGGGTCACGTGACGTTGAGATGACCTTGGAAGGGGTCACGTGACCTTGGGGGTCACGTGACCTCGGGGGTCACGTGACCTTGGGGAGGCGACCACGTGACCTCGGGGGTCACGTGACCTCAGAGGGGTCACGTGACTTGGGGGTCACGTGACCTTCAAAGGGTCACGTGGGGTCATCTTGGGGTCACGTGACCTTGAGATGACCTTGGAAGGGGTCACGTGACCTCGAGGGGTCACGTGACCTTCAGGGGGTCACGTGGGGTCACGTGACCTTGAGATGACCTTGGGAAGGGTCACGTGACCTTGGGGGTCACGTGACCTTGGGATGACCTTGGTTACGCCGACGGCGACGGCGACGGCGACGGCGACGGCGACGGCGACGGCGACGCCGACGCCGACGGCGACGCCGCTCAAGCCGGGAACGGGCCCCTAAGAGCTGCGCTCTAAAATGGCGACCAAACAGGAAGCTCGACGCTACTTTCCCAAAATCCAGTGACTATAAGCCCGGAAGTGAGGTGAGAGCACCTGCTGCCCAAAGCCATGTCTCGGATAACCCTCCAGTGATAAGGTGAATTTCGTTCCTGCAGAGCACGTCTTAGAGCGCTCCAAGCGTGACGCAAAAGCGCGTCGTCACGTAGGTATTTTTTCTCTGAATTTTAGTTTAGGCTAAAACAGGAAGCGTGCAAAACGTATCTCTTAGCGAATACCTTAATTGGCTGTGTCACAATGCGCTCCACAACTTTCCGATGCACACCTTAGCCCTGAAACAAATAACTGAGAAGTTAGCTAAGTAGTCTTAATTATTAAAATAACTAGGCGCACTGCAAAAAATCGTGCTCTTTCGTAAAATTCTTGCTAACAACATAGAGCGTAAAACAAATTTATACAGCCTAAAACTTGGTCTGCCTCAACGGGCGACGAGTCTCCCAGCTGTAGATGAGAAATTTAGCCAATGCAGTACAACCCCTAGCCTGGGGTCTTTAACGTGGAACACGCAGCAGTGTTACACGACCGCACGCCGGTACCATGCTCATTAAAATCGAAACGGGCAGGGGTGGGGATTAAACCCAGGATCCCTGGGCTCTGCAGCGCGAGATTTGGCTCCATGTGCTCCAAGCCGGTGTGCGCTACATGAATTTCACACTTATGCCCGTGTCCCACTAGAGCAACAGACAGAAACAAAAGACAGCGATAAGCCTCAAACCCATGCAGCATGCTCGCGATGGTACCTTTGGCAGGCATTTAGTCGTTCAATGCTCGTGAAGTAAGCACGAGGGATTGCAAGCCTGCCAAAGATACCCTCGCGTCCATGATGCTCGTGCTTGAGCATAGCCTCCGTTATTCCACAAAGCCTCTCAAATCGCGAAAAAGTCTGGTTTGACTGCTTGTCGCTGTAGTTAGTTTCTGTCCTTCGCTCTAGCGGGACACGGGCATTAAGCTGAGAGTAGAAGCTCTGCCTCCAGCGCTAGCTTTCTGCCCTTGCTAACACAAGTGTGAACGCGCAGGCATGGGCAACCAGAGCACCGCGGAAGCCAGCGAGCTTGCCTCGAAGGCGGAGATACTAGACGCAGCTTAATGCCTCATTCACACTGGCGGTGGAACCGCGTACGCGAAGCGGTTGCAAACGCGGTTGCCTAATAACTCAGTGCACTTTAACGCGCATTTGATGATGAAAACGAGCAGATACACTTAGCGGTTGGGATTCGAACGCCGGTGTAAATGCAGCGTAAGAGTGAACGGAGTATAGCCCGCTCTGCCCCCGATCTCCCTGACGTAGAGCTTAGTTTGGTGTAAGTTATCAGGGGCACCCTGTATAATGCACCTTTATGATTTGTTTCCATGCACGCGCGAGCAAAGTAGAAGCTACAAGCACGAGCATGAGTGTTCGCGACTGGCGAAACCGAGAGACCAGTGTGCGCTTTTATAGACGCTTTCAGCGCGCGCCGGACTGAGCCGCCATAGCCGACCTTCTCTTGTCTTACCGAGATGCCGAGCCCCTGAAGCGGGCGTTGACGGGTCTTCACAAGGGCCTATGCTGGGCACAAGGACACAGTGGGACTTAAAATGGCAATAACCTGTCCTGCTGTGGTAATGATGAAGTGGAGCGAACGGAATAACAGGGAACAGAAACTGAAGGTCGGTTATGGCGGCGCCCATGCACAGCTGCCGGAAAGCGTCTATAGCTTCAACCACGCACTCCCTTTCAGTGAAAGAAAATCTGATAAAGACAGAATTTATAGGGTTACTGAATCGAAATTTAAAATATACAAATAGCTTCAATAAAGAAGTCGAATAGAAAAGCTAAACCCGTATATTGTAATTTCACGCTTGTATCTGGAGCGGCTGGCTATTTATTGCGCTCTAAATCCCGGGAGTTTGGCGAGCGCTACGATATCAGACATTCAAGAGCGCGATGCATTTCGGGAGATTTGATGCACCCTTGACGCCATTAGGGAGTTTTCTTTAGACCGCGTTTTCCCCTCCGCTAAACCCTCCGAAACGAGGAAGCCGATACTGCGCCTGCGCGTGGATTGTTTGACTGTAAAGTTCCGGGTACCGTAGCTAGTTGCGGAGAGCGTTGTGGGACGGCGAAAACGATCTTCGAAAACCCCCTATTGTGTCATGCAGGGCGAAGCGTACCGCTGTTTTGAGCTTGGCCTCTTGAAGGCTTCAACGCGTTGCAATCTCGCTTAGACAAAGTATCCGAGGGTTGTAGCATATCGCCTGGTGGTGTCGGAGCGGGCGGTGCAGGGGCTCTTATTTGGACGCTTGGCAAAAACGTCGACGAGAAATTTGACTGCAGTGATTGGCCGGCACCAAGGACAAGCGCGAAGCCGGCCAATCAGCGCCCCGGGATTCCTCGCCAACTTTTTCGCCAAGTGTCCAGGTTAGAGCACCTTACTCGTGAGTGTGATGCCCAACCAACACGACGAGAGCGGTGGGATAGTGGCATTAGCGGGGACGAAGACGCCGCCACAATATATAGTGGCCGTGATGGTCGAGAGGCGATTCGGCCTAGAGCCATATAGAGGCTTCGTGGCAGCTGTGCATGGGCGCCGCCAAAATTTATGTTCAGTTTTTGTTTCCTCTTATTACGTTTACTTCACTTCGCCATTACAGCATGGCAGGTTATTGCCATTTTAGATTCTACTGTGTCCTTTCCCACAGCATTGGCCTTTCTGGAGGCTTGTCAACACCCGATTCAGTGGCTCGGCATCTGTATAAGACAAGAGAAGGACAGCGACGGCGGCTGTAATTAGGCGCGTTTCCAAAACGTTTATTTGTATGTCCCGTCTGCCTCGTCATCGTCGTCCTCAACAAAACAAATCTTTGTTCTAGATTTGCTAAGAAAAAAAAAGCAATGTTTATTTGCACCCGAATATATAATGCGTAAAATCATTTAATACCACAAAGTTTCTGGTTAAACCATCTGATTCCTATATTCGGCGATGCTTTATAAAAATAACTTTCACCCTTTTGCATTGCTTTTCGACGCGTTCGCCAAGCTGTTCCGTTAGAGCTTTTTGGAAAATATACTCGGAAGAACTCGCTTCAACCGACTGTACCTCTTCGGAAAATTCACACTCTTCAGCGCGGTGAGGCTCCTGTCCTGAAAGTGCTCTCACCGCACAAGCGATCCCTTTTCGAATGAACCCACGTCGGAAAGGACGGGCGCGAGAGACGACTTCGCGGGCAACAGATTCTCGTCCTTCAGAAACCTCTCTACCGGCGTCTCTCAAGACAGAATGCTGGTAGCCGAAAAAAATTCGAAAGGAACGATTCCACGACAAACGCACGCGGAACAAGCCGAGTCAAAATTGTCGAGCCGAGAGCTGAAACAATGGTGACCGACTCTGCTGCGACTTTCTTCACCAAAGTGCCTCGGTATCGCGTTCAGGCCCAAGTTATCTTTACGAGTAAGTTTACTTCCCATTGTGGTGCTACTCTTACCGATGCGATGCCATCACGACATTCAGTCGATGCTTCACAGACATCCACGAGGTGGTTTTTGGTTATTGTTTACTTCAGTTTAAAATACCTTTTCTTGGCGTTTCCTTCGATATATTGGTGTTTGTGAAGTCCTACTCCAAACTTCTTCATTTTGAAGCAAAGAGATGAGCTCAGAAATTGGGTTCCCGTGCCTTTATAAATGAAAGCTGAGTGGACTGCCAACGGCTTCACACATGCGTTGCAGCACTTTAATCAACACACCGAACAGCCCTGTTTCAGCGCTGACTTGAACATGCCATATAGAGATTCGGGGCCGTATATGAGGGTTTTATCAACGCTGTATAACTAATGTAGCGCGGATACAACGCTGCACCACCAAGGTTACCGCCATTTCTAGCGCTGACTAACTGAGGCTGTGCAATGGTGTGCGACAATAAAGTTTGTTCAGAAACACAAAATTCCAACCTTGTCTTAAAAAAAAAACTTTGAAAACACACCTTCATGCAATGTTTTAAGTGAGCCCGTGCCAATAGCTCCAGAAAGCGCCGCCAATCATTCGGTTTCTTGTTTTTCCTTCTATCTCATTGCAGCAAGATTCCGGTGGGCCCCTGGTGATTGAAACCACTCGGAACAATCATAGAGTCCTCGAAGTCATCGGAGTCGTTTCCTTCGGTGTGGGCTGCGGGGCAGCAAACTTCCCCGGAGTGTACACCAGAGTTTCCACGTATAGAGACTGGATTTTAAACAAGATAGCTCAAGTGCTGCCCGACAGTCAAATAGGCCTGACTAGGGACAACTGAATATCCCACTCGACCCTAATCAATATTTTACGCCCCAAAAGATATCTGGGAACGCAGATGCGAATACAATTCGTCTGTTAGTTTTCTCTTGTCCTGCAGTATGTCATAAGATATATCAAACTTGCAACACATGAGCCAAAAAAAAAAAACTAACATCGCACAAAATTTGGAACATAAAACAAAATGCTTCGCGCCATTAAAAAAAGTGACTAAACACAACTAGGTACGTTTATCGTACTAAAACTTCAAATATACTTTCAAACAGACCGCGTTTGCGTTTTGAGTTCAGCAAATACTTTTTAGGTTGTCGCAAACAGCTGAAAATGGTTTCCGCACCTTCAAAATTTTGTAGAATGTTTCTTTTTTTGTGTGTGTGTGTGTGTGTGTGTGTGTGACTGTGCGTTTTTTTTTTATATCAACTCTTATCTGCGTTTTGAATTTTTAAAGTTTTATTTTTCTTTTCTTTATTTTTAATGCATGAACTTGGGTGTGATCGCTGTTTTCTGACCACGACCTTTGGGCTTGAGTTGCAGCAGGATTATGAAGAAACTTCATGTCTATTTGATTCGTAAACCATAAGCTGACAAAAATGAGATGCTTGGGATTCCATAAGCTCGTAGGTTTAGCTTATTAGTGACTATAAATACCCATCCACCTCATAGACAAAAAAAATAATACTCAACATATTCTTATGCGAGGGAACGTTCAGTAGTGTCATTTCACTCTCCGAAAATGTACTCATTATAAAAAAAGGGCAAGTGGGGCTTTAATCGCCAGTCCCGTGCACGACAAAAAAAGCAAACCATATATGTTTTAGAACATTTTTTTCTATCATGTCTATTTAGTTTATGTAGATTACATTTGCCAATATATAATTTGGAACTTGGAAACAGCTGTGCACAGGGAAAAACGCACTTTCATCATGTAGTGCAGCCTACTAATGGAAAAAAGAACTTCATTATCTGATGCCTGTCAGTCAAAACTATTCCAGCCAACAACAGGGAAAATCCGCACGTTTGAAACGCATTGAACTACAAACCGGTGAAAACACTAAAGCGATATACAATGGTAAAAAAAAAATGTTCGCGGGACCATGCCTTGCGAGTAAAGTTGATGCTATAAAAGCACCAAAGAGCATATACTTTTATTGGGGCAATACATTTCTGAAGAAGGGAAGCTGAGCTCTAAGGGAACCGCCAAGGTGCTTGAAAATGTGTCAGATGGGTCGCGGAAATGTAATCCGAGATACACAAACAATCAATTGTGGAGGCCGTGAAAAAAAGACAAGACGGGTAATATTAGTTCTAGCGGTAATTATAGATTCAACTCTAGGTGTTTTTTAATTACTGTGACAATCGAGCTATACTTCTAGCTACCCACTTGCTTCGGTAAAGAGAACCCTATTTATTCTTTTGTTTATTAAGGGAATGAGTAAGGTACTATTTAAAGCCAAGCGACGGGTAACGATATTTCGTTATTTTTGAGGAGTAACTACGCCGTTTAAACAGCCTCGTTTTAAGTCCTTCCTGAAACAAAATATTGCCGTTCATTTGAGTGCGTCAGTAGAACGACTCCTCAGCGTCGCCGGAGATGTATTTTCAAGGAAGCGGAGAAATTTAACCAATAAAAACTTCGAGAGGCAGCCACTGTTTAAGTGCAACGACTACTGAAAAGAAAACAATGAACCATGAAACAAAACCAGTTTTGTATTTGGCCGTCAAAGTAAAGAGAAAAGTAACTCGTTACTTTTGAAGTAAAGTAACGCGTTTCTTTTGAGAATCGGTAACAAGTAACGTATTTAGTTACGTTTTGAACTAGTAACGAGCAACGGTACTTATTCTTTTTTGAGGTAACGTGCACTTGTCTGGCTACGCGGGCATCGCAGATGAGAGGGGGTGACAGGTATATAGAAACAAAAAATCTAAGAATGCAAATATTTAGCTGTTTACGCGTGGATAGTAACTCGGGTATTGTACTCTGATCACTAGAAGCCGGATCTTTAGGCAGGTGCCTATTTTGTTTTTTTGGTCCCTATATTGCCTTTTCTATGTATAAGCACGAATCATGAGTTAAGAAGCGTTTTAATAGTAGTTTTATAGCGCCTACAAATGCCTATTTCGGCGTTTGAGCCTAAATTACCGTTCCCCGCCTATAAATGCCTATTCTTGACTTTTTTTGCTTCGGTACCCCCAAAATTACTTCTTCTGCTTAGTTTCAATTTCAAGCGAACTATTTTTCATCTTGCTGCGATGCATGGGAACAGGCTGTTCCAATCTTGGTCCCGAGACACACCACAAACATCGTTGTTTATTTTCTTCACGCCAGTAAGCCAAGGCGCAAACGGCGCCTTCCTTCAGTAGGAGGCCCTTCCCGCCCTGCCACAAGCATCGTCCTTTTGTTTATTTCTTGCCGCGCCTTTGCTTTCTCCTCCTCTCGCATCGCCCAAGACAAGTGTGGAGCCCGGGAGATGCCTGGAGGCTGGAAGTCTGGATTTGGATGCTGCTGTACTCCGTTTCAGCCTAAATGGACCTTAGTGGATGCTGGGAGCGTCCCAGCCAGTCCAGCGCTGGGAGAATCTCCGCGTGTCGCTCCGCCCAGCTGGAGTAAAACTGGGTTGGCTGGGATGGCTCGTCCTATTCGCTGCGGTTCATTGGAAGATCAGGAAACAGAGCGTAACGCCCACCAAAAAGTTTTCTTTTTTTAATGAGCGAGCGCGTGTGTCTGTGTGCGTGTGCCTGCGTGCACGCACACGCACGCAGGCACACGTGTGAGGTGAATGAAATAGGAAGCCGTAGTTTGCTCTTTTCACGTGCGCGTCGGTCTCTAACGTTATTGTGTCCGTTGGTCTGTGGTTTGCTGCTTTTTGCGTTCGCTGCCTGAAGCTTCTCAACAATGCCAAAAAAGAAGGTCTGAAAGAGCGTGCTGATTCGGCAATGGACCCAACATTCTCTTTGCTACTCGACCGAGGGGGATATGGTCTGCTGTCAACCGTGTGGAAAGCAGGTAAGAAGACACTCTTAGGTGCCTTGTTTCGGAGAAGAAACAGGACTTGATCGAACGACGATTTAGCGAATGAAAATAAAACCATGACGTTTCATCGAATGACGCTCTTACGAATGGCAGCTTCATTTTCCCTGATCGACGGCGAGGGTTAACTGCGCCAGTTTAAAAGCCTAGCTCGTCACCGTCGAAAAATAGCCTGTTCGCTAAAATGGCATTCCCAAAAACGTTCGTCCGCTCAAATGGTTTCTAATGGCTAAAACGTCATTCGCTCATATAATATGAACAAAAAAAAAACGCATTTTTATTAAAGAGATGATGAGACTTATTTATTTAATGAAAGGTTTGCTTGTCTATGGATTGGTGAAGAATTTCCTGGCCAAAGTCCCACAAGCCAATACAAAACTGTGTCTCCCCTGCCCCTCCGCGGCCTCAACAGACACATGCATATGTAATACAGGAGTCTCCTCAATACTGGCATGACCCTTCAAAATCACTTTATGTAATTTTTCATTCGACGGATGCCAGTCAAGCACAATGTTTTCCGAAATCTATTATCCCCGAGAACGAGCACAACCGTTGCTGTGTAGTTGCAGCGTGCTGATTGTTTGCTGTGTCGTCTCCGTGACGTCACAGTGAGAAAAGCGACGGTGTTCCCGTGAGATTAGGATCGCACAAATTAAACTGTACGCACGGTATTTAAAGACCAAGCAGAAATAATATTTGAAGTTACCATCAGCCGTTACCGGACCATTTGCAAGGTGACCCAGGAAAAAAATATCTCCGTGATGTCACGGAGAGGGACCACCAAAAGGAGTCGGAAACTTCTTTGACGATACTTACAAATTTATTTAGTTAATTAACTATACTCAGTAACAAGACAAAACGCAGTGTTTCTATGGGATTACTGATCTCCAGTACGTGCTTGTTGCCTCCCGTCATGCTTTGGTTGAGCGTGTACAGTTGAAATGCACGCTGGGGGCGAGGCAACTGAAATACACTTTATCTGCGAGAGTAAATCAGACGATTTATTCTCGCATTGGTTTGATACCCCCCATGATATAGGCCTGCGCGCTGTTTCCGAAAATCCATGCATTTGCCCCGCGCTATTCGTCAGCACCGCCCGTGTACAGAAAGAAGCTTGACTTGCGTAAGATGAAGTGCCCGCGCATGCCCCGTGCCGACAGCGACGCTACCGCAGCTGAGTGACGTATGCCAGAGCCGCATTTTGGTGTATATAGACGCTGCACCGACAGAAACCACTTTCTGTCCAAGTCTCTCTCGCTGATCAATTACCAGCCGCAAACGGGTGAGGGTCCAGCCACGGCGCCACACGCTGTTTTCCTTCGACGAGAGGCCGCATTGAGGTGAAGGTCGCTTTATAGCCCGAAGGCGCAACGGACGAAGAGTATCGCTGTTGATTATGCCGACCCGCGGTGTTCATCGAAATATTTCCCGCTGTGGGCAGATGCAGTTAAGCGCGTGTCGTTCGGACCCTCAAGCAACATGGCGTGCGACCGAAGACGTGTGTGGAGAATTCTACTCTCACTCGCCGTGTACTACTCGACGACAGTCGACGGATCGAGAGGTTTGTGTATGATATCGCGAATAAGTGTGAGAATATAAGTTAATTGTGTTGTGCGTTTGTTTAGTCGGCGAGCGGTCGGTCGTCCCTAAAGGGCGCCTAGCGACTCAGTTGTAGAAAAAGTTTAGACGCTGCAGAAACGTTGCTGGCCTGGAGCCTTTCATTGACGTGCTTCACACAGTAGTGATACCCGACCGCCCGTCGATTCACAATCCAGATGTTTGTGAATGTTTTGATTTAACGTTCAGAGCTGCGGATTTAAGTAGCACACAAATGTTTTTTTTTTTGCTACTCATGTTTAAACGGGCTAAAAATATTAGTCTGTAAATCTGTAAATTATTGTTTCTCCGAAAAGTATATACTCACACCAGTGAACGATATCGGTGCATAATTAGATGATCAAATAAATCACTCAATTTGTATAACGAAATCTAATTTCCAATTTCCATTCCTTTGAATACAAACTTACCATTGTTCCCAAGCAAACTGCGAATAATCTTTTCTTTTAGATTTCACTTTTATTCGATGTTATTAAATTTATGAATTTTAACAAATATATTTACATCTTAAATTTTCTTAATAATACGGAAGGGATAATCACGACTAAAAGTGTAGGCGACAATTTAAGAATAATGTTCAGGGAGACTGAAGTTTGAACATGTCTAAAGGCGACAACAAAACTTTCATTGAGCAGGGTTGCACAAACATTATGAAACTCCACTCTTTTTTGGATCGTTTAACAAGTTCTACTCTACGTTTACTATCATTAACGGCAAGCATACAAAAACGTGCTCAGGGGTAATGGCAGCGATTAGATAGCGGTTTCTAGCAACAATAATGAGCGTATAGAGGCTCCGCTGAAATATAGCGCTATCGATTGATGCCAGACACCAAAATGTCAGAACTAACCGTCATATCAAAAAGTATAAACGATTTTTTCCAAACTTTTTGATGACATAAAGGCAGCCCTCGAAGTTCACGAATGTGAGATGAATGGTGTCTACATCCCTAACGGGTCCTAATTTGTATCGTCAAAGATTTAAAAAAAATTATATATTTATATATATATGGGAATGAGTGCAGATTGACGAGTGCAGCCGGGCTACAACTATATTTGGGCAGAGGCTGGGTGTTCGGCGAAGCGGAATTTATTTTTGTGATAAAACGTAAAGTGTTAGCTTTTTTTTTTTCCTATTTCGGTGACTACTCAATTTGCTTTCTTTAAGCAGGTATATATTTGCCTTAAAAGTTTATTTTATACAATGCTGCAGTGAGGTGACCAAAAGCTGTCCACCTGACTCTTAATATTACCAAACTCTCCTCTGCCGTATCCACGATTGTGCTTCACATCTGTTCTTAGGAATTTTCAAGGAAAAAAGAGAGTCAAATTATCAATCAGCCTTGTCAATAAGAAAACCATCTGACAGGGAAAGACAGATATTCATAAAAAATCAACAACATTGCCTGTTGATAATGAAATTCTTCAGCGTTCAGCTAAAAGAACTATAGTCAATGACAGGTTAAACGTCCAGGGACAACTCTTCCTTCCCTTTTCCACTTTACCAGAGTGAACGCTGGAGAGGGAGTTACCTCCTTTCCAGCCTTTGCTCTGCTTAAGTGGAAAAGGGTGAGAGGAGCTTCTCCTTAACTCTTCACTTGTCACCAACTATACAGTCCCTCGAGGTTTTTTTAAATATTTTTAAATATATAACGGTCACGACAAAATCTATCTTCACTTCAGAAATATTCATGTAATTAAGATTCCCAAATAAGGTATTTCAATGAGTTCATAAATATTTGTCTTCATTGAATGTTCATAATGTGTCCAAAAACTCTACTTCTAAAAATGTTTTTTTCAATGGCTAACGAAAAGTTATACTTAAAACCCGATAGGCACATACGTGTGAATTTATACAATCAGCAGGGCATTTTTAGGGGGAGTAATTGAATGCGTCGTCAGTGAACCCCTGTTCAACTTTCGTTTCCCCCTTTTTTTTTTTTTTTTTTAAGAGTGTATGAGGCTGGGGCACAATTCCTACCAGACCTTATAAACTCCTTTGTATCCGACGTCCAGTGCGCCGTGACTCGTGTCGTGCTAGACACCTTAGCCGGGCCGAGATAGTGGACGGCCTCTGCATGCCAGTCCAGGAATGCATCCAGTCCCTGAAGGATGTGGAGACGCTCAGATCTCCCATATTCTGTGGACTTCGCGGTTTGCGGCCCATCGTGTGCTGCCCTCTACCCGAAGAGCCCACGACGACGAGCGCCACCATTACGACAACTGCAGCCGCGACAACTACGTCATCGACTTCAGCCCAGCTAGAGATAGGTAAGTGCGGCTCCTGCACTTTGCCATGGTGCGCAAAAACAACTCCGTCGCAAGTTATGCACAAATAAAGGTAATTGAATTATTTTTAATATTTGGTGACAAGTGTGGCGGAGGGAAGTAAAGTGAAGACCTTGAATTTCTTGAGCGATTATGTAATAAAAAGGAAATACATTTTTAAGGTACACAGCATTCATGAGGTGCGGTACGGCATTATAAAGCCGCATTAATAACCTAACTCTTATCTGACAGCGTTCCCTCGAATTTGTGTTGCTTTTCAATGGGGATGATTGTCCTACACCCATTGGCGTCACCTCCACACCGAGACCACCAAGCCAGATGGTGTCATTCTCTAATCACCTCCTTTAGTTATCCTTGATTCGTTTTCACTTTTGTTGTTAATTTTTACCTTATGATTTTATTTTGTTATTGGCTACCATGACATCAAAACAAGCTAAGAATGCTGAAGCTCCCTCAGCAAAAGTTCTACCTTCACTTTGGCTGTGCTGCTCACAATCCGCCAACGAGTAATACATCATTTAACGAAAGGGTTCTCGAGAGACGCCATTTTGGATGTCGGTGCGTTTTAATGCGCGCTTCCGTCGCTTCAGAAAGGCATCATTTTCGCGACGCTGAAGTGTTACCCTTGCATGCCGATCTGTCAAAGGCCGGTCTACCAAATGGTATTCTGACGGTAGGAAACCCAGTTCCCAGTTTCCATCTACCCATTCGCCCTCCCCTTAACTCCGTCGTCCTTTCCTCACATGAGATTTCTGAGCTACTTGCCGCAAAGCGGAGGAGAGATTCCCTCTCTCTCCAATGGAAGAAAGAAATTGAGGGAGCTTTCTTCTTTCTGTCCCAGCCCGAAATCCGTTCTCCGAGAGGCGGACGTGTATATAATGTTTCGAGTGGTTTGACGTATTCTGGTTTCTGCTGCCTGGATGCTGTGTTGGATATACAACTCTCCGCGTTCCACAACTATAGTGTTCCAGTGCCAGCAACGGCGGGACGAAAGCGGGAGGTGGTGGTTAAGACAGTAGCTTTTGGTGCACTCTTTTCCTGGATGCCACTCATAATTCCCACAAAACGTTTATTCCCACTGTCCTGCCCATGGCCGTCGAGAGGGCCGCGCATTTCCTCTTTCTCGCTGAGGCCACACCAACGAACTACCCCCTAAACCCTCTGCCCCTCTCCCCTCCCCCCCCCCCCCCCGCCCCCTCGAGCCCCCGCCGCCCTTCCTTTCCATTGGGCGTTGCTCGTGACGTGTCACACATATTATTGAATGCCTGGAAAACCGTCGTGACGTCACATTACCTGTTCTGGCAGTCAGTTTGCCGGCGCGTCGTCCAAAGCAAACCGCAAGATTTCGACTCACAGCGGGCTACGGAAGCCACGAAAAGATGTCCATGCACCCCTAAGCGCCGGCCCGAATCCTGACTGGTTTGAACCACCCTTTACGTCTTGTAAATAGAAAAATGGTCGGTGGAAAGCTCGCACGGCACGTCGTATTTCTAACGCAAAATTCCTACAAACTAAGTTATTGGGAGCGCAGGGGTCGGAGAGGTGAGTGTGGTGTTCGTAACCAAGGCGCAGCTGTACCTTGCACTCCAGGGTTAAAAACGATGCTAGCAAAACAGCGTAGGTTCAGAATTTTATTACATTCTTAAGAGGTATTATTCGTACGGAAATGGAAGCGCGATCCTTCCAAATATGTTATATTTATTTTTATCGCATGTTTTCATTTATTTACAGCCAAAGTTTAAAACAAAACTGCTATTTGATGCTCTGGCACTAGAGAAAACTTACGCAGGGAACCATGGTGATAGCTACACATGGAGCACAATACCTAAGGCCGCTTCCAGCCACTGAAAGAAGCGAGCAATATAGCCACACCTCCCCTTGTGGCCTACCACAGCATTGAGTCATGAATCTATGTGACATATTTTTCTCCATCTCAGATCCCTGCCAAACGGAGAGTGGACAGCGGGGCACTTGCATTCCACTTTTCAAATGCAAGGAACTCGAGGAGCAAATAAACCAGGGCAAGTACCCTCCCCTGTGCAGCATCCAGGACCGCATACTCTACGCCTGCTGCAAACGTAACGAGACACAGCCGTTGGAACCGATTCAGGAGGACGTCTCGGCTCGCGCCCTCAAGACATCTGAGCTCGACTACGAGAACGGAGTTTGTAAGTAGTCATTCCAAGTCAACCACTACTGACTTCGCGGCAGGGTTCCCACTTTGACTTATCACCCCTGGATGGTGTACCGCTCTCCTGTCCGTAAATAAGAGGCGTCGCACTCAGCAATGGTACGATTTTGACGAGACAAACCAGCACCAATCTTCTATAGCAACCTTTTTTTCCAGGGCGAATATAATGGGTCGTTATCATTACATCCATATATTTTCTCGCGGTTCCGGATGATTCTTTTTTGATTCAATAATTTTAAAAACCTAATGATGTGCGAGGTTGCTATGCGAAACCTTGCAATTGCAATTTTCAGGGTTCCAGCGTTTCAATCAATTTATAATTTAATCCTAGCAGGTGTAAACATAGTACTTCACCTCAGTGGCTACGAATCAAAGCCACAGCCCACGGATCTTGATGGGGCGAGTTCGAATCCCGGTTGAGGCGTCCGCAATCTGACGGCGGCTTATTGCGAAGGGCGCATCATGTAACCGAGATTGCGGCTGCACGTCAAAAATCCCGAAGGGTCGACGTTCAAAATCTATCCTTTGTTGAACTGCCCCAGAATCACATCGTTGGTTTGGCACGCAAAATTCCCTTTGTAATTTATTGGAAGCACAGATACATTTACATCACGAGAAACTACATCCGAAAACAATGTTTGGGAAGATTGGCAACCCTACTGAAAAAAACCATTTGAAATTCAAACGGGTGGCAAACTGGTTGACCCGTCTGAATCAAACGGGTGACAAACCTGTCGATCCGTTTGGATCAAACGTGATTATGGGATACGGGTACCCGTTTGAAACGGTACCAGTTTGAAGCAGTACCCGTTTGATACAGGTGCCCGTTTGATACGGGTGCCCGTTTGATACGGGTGCCCGTTTGATACGGGTGCCGGTTCGACCTGGCAAGTACGTGACCACAGGTTTGAACGTGCCATTCGAATTGGCAAATTATGCGCTAGCCCCAAATGGGTATCGTCTGGGAGGCTGGTTATCTTAAACTTATTTAAGACGCCCCGAAACTCGTAAACCTATTTATAACATGGACGAAACACTTAGAACAAATGTGCTCGCGTAGGTGTTTTCAAGTGGATGGGAAAACAGACACAAAAGATTATTTTCGATTCTCCTCGAATTTTATTACCTCTTCTGTAGGCAAGTACAAACGGTGAAATGTGAGAGGCACTCTAAGCTTTTACATACAACTGAGAAGATTGCAAAGCAAACAACAACCGAGGTAATTCTAGACTATAAAGGCAGACTTTCGGGGAAATTATTTTCCCGGCTGCCGCGAGAATAGACGCTGCATAATTCTATAGATAATCTGGAAGAGTATGCCTAGAAGAACGGTCAATCTTTGCCGACAAATAGGTTGCAGTGCACTTACCATAATAATAGCGGGCTTGAAAGATGTACTCCGTGATATTTGTCGATACGGACAAAACAGGACAACCGCGCAAACGCAAACGGAGGGAACGGCTCCTTTGAAGTTTCAACGCGATGCGGTGCGCAAGTTGTCATTAGACGAACCCAACCAAACCGCAAGAATTCCTGTCTTCTTTGAAGGATCACTTGTTGCCGATATACGTGTAGGAGTTTTCGAACACTGATAGCTTTGGTGTACATTCAATACGTTGTCGAGAAACATCCTAATAAGACTGCACGGTTAGGCGACAGATCGAAGCAGGTAGGACGCACGAAGTTCGAACTGCAACTGACAACAAGGAAGCAGACTGATTGAAAAGGTTTACTCCGACTTAACATAACAAATTAATAACAAAAGGTACAGACGTTTCGCCACCTATGCAGGTGGCATCTTCAGTATACACTGACACAAATGAGGTGAGGTCGACCAGTCTACTTATCACACACGTCCCCGTAAACGTCCGGCAGGGGGCCACGGTTGGTGTTGCACACCGATGAGTCACGGCGAATGAACCAGGACTCGACGAATTTTCTTTGCCCCCACCTTTGTTCTCGGGCCAGCGTCGTCGCATTGTCCAGGTCGAAACTGTGTCCTGTCGTCCAGCAGTGTTCGACAAGTTCCGTCTTGGACCGCGTGGCATGGGTGGCCTTGGCAACGTCCCTTTTGTGTTCTTTCAATCTCGTTGCCCTCTTTCTGCCCGTTTCGCCGATGTAGGTCGCGTCACAATCCCCGCACTGCACTTTGACGCGACCTACATCGGCGAAACGGGCAGAAAGAGGGCAACGAGATTGAAAGAACACAAAAGGGACGTTGCCAAGGCCACCCATGCCACGCGGTCCAAGACGGAACTTGTCGAACACTGCTGGACGACAGGACACAGTTTCGACCTGGACAATGCGACGACGCTGGCCCGAGAACAAAGGTGGGGGCAAAGAAAATTCGTCGAGTCCTGGTTCATTCGCCGTGACTCATCGGTGTGCAACACCAACCGTGGCCCCCTGCCGGACGTTTACGGGGACGTGTGTGATAAGTAGACTGGTCGACCTCACCTCATTTGTGTCAGTGTATACTGAAGATGCCACCTGCATAGGTGGCGAAACGTCTGTACCTTTTGTTATTAATTTGTTATGTTAAGTCGGAGTAAACCTTTTCAATCATGAATTCACCCGGCTTTTGGAACATTTTTGCAAGGAAGCAGACAAAGAAAAAAGCGGCTGCAAGGCGCGCCCTTCCGGATCTCGATGCTTATCAGCGTGTAGCTCGCGCGATGCTGCGGGTCACGTGACAGTGGTGACAAGAGAGGAAGGAGGGGGCGCGTTGAAGGCGCACGACACCGGCACAGACCCAGGCATTTCAGTGAGACGTGTTTTTGTAGCCTCGGAAAGCAGGCGCGCGCGCTGGAAATGACGGCGGCCAGAAGCTCGGCTTGCGCCCGAGCGAAGAAAGTACTCAGCGCGAGCTCGTAGTTTGACTGCAGCAACGGCGGGCGTGCTCTAACAATGCTCGATGTTCTTGCAGCCGCGTGTTCATGCGCTACCTTCGCTGCGTCTTGAATTGAAGTGAAACGGAGTCTAGAAGTACATTCTTTCACGCGTTTGCATCTTCTGGGAGAGAGATTCGAGCTGAATAAATAAATTGAGGAAACAAAGATGGAAAAAGTTTTAAAGTTCTGTCAAAAATATAGGCTCACCAACGTCGCGCGTTTACGAACATCAGCGCAATTAAAATATATATGTAATTACTTGCATAACGCGGGAGATCTGAAATCGATGAACCGGCGCTCCCAGCCTTCCGGAAACATTGACTGCCACGGCCGAAACAGGCGTGCCCATGCCGCCGATCAGTACGTTCAATATCAAAGGGGCTTCGGAGAGCCGTTTGATTAAACCGGTACAGTTTGCCCCGTCTGTGCAACATGGTCAACGGTTTGAGCAAACGTGCGACAACTTTGCCCAAACGAGTCGCCCATTTGCCCAGACGAGCGACCTGTTTGCGAAAGGAGTGACCGGTTTGTCCAAATAGGTGAACGTTATGGCTCATACGAGGGACGCTTTTGAGCCAAACGGGCGACCCCTTTGACAAACTGGTGACCGGTATTGCCAAATTGTTTCCCGTATGAACCCGTTTACTTTCATACAGGCGCCAAATGCTTTTTTTTTTTTCAGTAGGGAACGTAAAAACTAAGCTTGAGACTAAGCCACTCCATCATCGTCGCTCATCCCGATGCTACCCATAATGAGAAGGACGCGTTTCCCGGCACATCCAAACAATGAATGTCAGTCCTGTCAGCGTCCCGTGCACTTAAATTATAGCCCCAATGAAGTTGGGTGGTTTGCTTCAGTTTAATTAGTAGCCGGCTAGTCAACGCGAACTCAGGCAGACCTGTGGTGTGCTGTGATCTGATGTGATATGATGTGATGCCGCGCTGACAGCAACGTTTTCGCCCGTTCTCCTTCTAATGCGGCGCCCTGTACCAACCAGTCTGAACCAATGTAGCTTTGACCGAATCCGCTAGCTGAGAAAAAAAAAAGTGAAAGTCGTTTATAACTCCCTGAAATGCCTAATTAGATTGCAGCTCTTGAGGAGGAGGAGGAGGGAAGGGTACTAAGGTGGGGGGGTCACGTGACCTCGGGGAAGGGGGTCACGTGACCTCGGGGAGGGGGGTCACGTGACCTCGGGGAGGGGAGTCACGTGACCTTAGAGAGGGGGTCACGTGACCTGGGGGGGTCACGTGACTCCCCTCCCCGAGGTCGCCGAAGCCACCCAAGGTCCTCCCGAGGTCCTCCCGAAGAAACCCGAGGCCCTCCCGAGGTCCTCGGGGAGGGGGGGGGGGGGGGGGCTCGTGGTTACGACCGACGCCGACAGGGACGCCGACGCGGACGCCGACGCCGCTCAAGCCGGAAACGGCCGCCTAGGAGCTGCGCTCTAAAAAAATTCCGTCAGCCGTTTAAATACATTTTTGATTATGGGACTCTAGCAATTGCCATTATTAAAGAGGCTATGAAAAGATTTTCTACTTCTTCCTCCTTAGCTTTAATCCTCAACTCTAAGGCAAATTGAGAAATCACGTCGTCGTCACACGCTTGGGCACCGGTGCGATGACTCTAAGCTTTTACCGTGCCTTATAAGCACACCATAGAACTTGTTCGCCAGTGACGAAAAGATCCGTTGGGGCACTTTTTTGGGCCACGAACGCGAATTCAAATATTTGTCAACGGATCGATTGTTGATGAGCGCATACGTTCGAGTGACGCAGTTCTCGTGTCTAATGAGCGAGCTGGGGTCGGCTGACGTCATTTGGCACCGCTGACGTGCTTTGGGTAACGCGGATGTATCGGGGAGCTTTCGAAGGAAAGGAGGTATGAAATAGTCCGCTATATTTCCAAATGTTCGCACCGAAAAGATGGATTTTTTTTTTACTTTCTGCTGTCTTCCTTTTGGCCCACTAAACAATATGCGATTAATAAAGCCTCAATTTTAAATAATTTATACCAGCCCGGAATTTGTTTCATAGCCTCTTAAAGAATACATTTATAGACACCGCCAGCTTAATAAACGCAGAGCGTGGCGAGTCAAAATCCAGATCCATGTTAACATTCAAGTCACAATCCAAGTTCACATCCAAGTCCAAATCATCTTATCACTCAGCTACCAGTGAGATGGTGGCATTATTGGAGAAGAACACCGAGGAACGGATCACCGAGCGAAGACAGCAAACCTAAAAAATCACACACTATGGTGACTTCATCTGTCAGTTACTGTAAAAAACAAATATACAAGATACTTTATGTCAAAAAACGGAATCGCGCGCAAAAACGAAGTCGAGACGCAAAAAGAAAAAAAAGCGCGATCGTTATGGAAAAGTATTCTTTGCGTAATGGGTTTTATTGAAAGTTACGTGAAGTTGATTCGAGTATTTGGACATGTTGAAGACTGAAAAGATAAAAAAATGAACACGTAGGAATATGCAAATCCAATACTGCACATCCGAAGAAAGAGGAGTCATGTAACGTACCCTGCGGTTTCAACTTAGCATCGTGCCTCGGTTGTCGTTGTAAAGAATATCCACATCCGAATCAAGATGAGACGTAGCAAAAAGTTATCTCTACTTTCAGTCTGCGGGAAAACTACACCTCGACCTGAGGATGCGCGGCACGTCGTTCCCCGTCTTATGGTCATCGGAGGTATAAACGCCGCCCGGGATTCCTACCCCTTTGCGGTGAGTTTCCCCGCTGCTGCAGGAGCACGCTGCCTGGAACGTGTCCTTGACTGGTCTGCTTAGCATTCTAGCTCGCCCATACGTCAAAAGTGGTTCCGAAACGGCAACGAATGACGTCACAAAAGCCAACGTATCAAATTGTTGCATGCCGCTATCCTGGCGGTTGGTGCGAGATGACCAGGCAAAAATTGACAAGCGGACGCGAGTGTCACTATCTTCACGGAGTCCCAACTCCTGGTTGCAGAAGCTTCCGCGGATTGTCAAGCTGGAATACGACCTGCAGCAAAAACAGGTGTTTTCCAGGTATATCATCGCTGCCGCGATATCGCCTGAATCGTGGCCGCCAACATAGGGGAATTGTAGTAGACCGTTTCCGCAGCCCGCTAAGCACCCGGATAGCGCTCCGTAATCCGCCACAAGACCTTGAACACTGCAGACAAATCTGACGGCGCGCATGCTCAGCAACGGCGTTTTCTTCGTTGGTACGGTATAGCGGAGGAGAAAAACGGTCTTCTAGAATTTTTTATAGCATGACACGTCTCTGACGTAAACAGGCGGATGTCCAGGCACCAGCTTTTAGTACGCGGAAAACTCACCAGTCGGAGACGCGTTCCAGGCACAGTAGCAGGAGTGCCTCATCCTAACCTATGGTTGACAGTTTCAGTGTTTATTGTTTAGTCCTTTCCAACCAAAGTGCGATACTCTCCTCTGTGGAAATATGTCGGCCCCAATGGCAAAACCATGCATGACGACCTTATGATGCGAGTAAGAGTTTGCGGGTCGCAAAGCGATGGACGTACAACGTGTCCCCCCGGAAAAAAAAAACCGCTTGCAGTATCTTTTTTAAATACAAAAGTACACAACGCGTCGCCATACGCTCAGTCTCCACCTAAATTTAGAGCTAGCAGTCCGAACAAGAGGCCAACGTTTCAGAACTGATTGGAATGTTTTTCAAACGTTTTGAGTTATTTTTCTTTTAGCTTTTAGTGAAAAAAATGGCCCGTTTCGGTAGCTGGCGACAGTCATCTTCGTGTGTTCGTGGACTTCGTCGACCGCTATCTTCCCATTGAAAATTTATAAAATCCCTTATAACATTTGAACCGTATATGCAGCAGCGAGCCCTAAAACATGGGCATTTAGTCAGAACTGCTAAATGTACATTTAGGAGGAAACCGAGCATTCGGTAACATGTAAAGTACTTTCCATAAACATATATTTTTTTTTTGGAAAGAGGGGGGGGGGGGGGGGGCTTTTGAATGTTCAATTGCGTGCGTCTTCGACAAATTCGAGTTGCCCTGTAGAATGCAATATATAACACTACTAAGGCTATCTAGTAGATACTGCTATGCAAAGGTGCTGATCATTCAACCCGGATGCTTCGCTTGCTGCCCTTCGTCCAGACAAAGATTCAAAGTCATGCTCTCATTACGTCGTTGGCTGGAATGTCGAGGCCACTTCACACAATAACACTAGACAAGGATTGAGATATGACTACAACTTACCGGCACATCTGTGCTTCTCACGCATCGTACCATTACAGTCTTTGCATTGGTCGCCACGCTTAATGCAAGGCGTAGAGTTTCCGGAAAAGTCGCGGTTGTATCTAAAAGCGAGTTCCTACTGTGTTCAAACATATAATCGCCCATTAGATTCTGAATGACCCCTTTTACCTTAAAGATAACGTCGTGGGAAGCTGCGCGAATTGCGGACTAATCAATCGCCTGCATTGTATCGCCTGACCTACCGTAGAGAGCGTGATCGCGTCTTGCAAGACACAGCGTTCATTGATTTAGCTTTGACTGGCGTGTTTGGTACAATGTATAGGTCAGGCACGTAGCCAGGGGGGGGGGGGGGGGAAGGGGGGGTGGCATGGGGCCCGGCCTTCTCCCCCCCCCCCCCCCCCCCGAAGTCGTTTATTTTGCTGGGGCCTCCCCCCCCCCCCTCTCCTCTCTACTCCCCTCCCCTCCCCCCCTCCCCCCCCCCCCCCCCCGAGAAAGAATCCTGGCTACGTGCCTGGTATAGGTGGTAGACTTCCGAAAGGTTCGGGCATTATTTATAAATGCCCTTTTCGGTCTTAGTCCTTCTATATAACTCCCTTTTTTACTCTTGCTATAATTACTACTTCCTTGTTTGGGGTAGCACAATGGCTGAAATATGCATCCCTTGTATGTTCTCGAGAAGAGAATCATCCGCATTACGTGCAACGCGGAGTTCAACGTTGACACATTACAACTTTTCAACCCCCTTCACATAGTCCCAACTACAAAGCATTATAATTATAAATTTATTCTAACATGTTAATCTTTCCTCAGGAAAAATCACCTTGTTTTTTCTATCAATGGGCAATATGAAGCGGTGGGTGCCTGCATATGTAAGCCGCTGTGTTGACTCATGGTCAACGCCTCGCTTGAGGATAGGCTGCGGCCTCCAGATGCTGCAGCTCTCGTTGCCTAATGTTATAAATAGTACACATTATTTGGCACGGATTTTATGAGTTTGAGCAGAAAGGATATTTGTTGGAACGTTTAAGTGATTCGCGGCACCATTTTGCGAAGGCCAGTGCAGCTTGTGTGTCTGTGGGAGTTAATGGAAGTTTAGAATAAACTCCCATCCATCCGGTGGGGAGTGTGATCGAACGTTTAAGTGGTTCGTGGTAAGCCATATCTCTGGCAGGAGGAGATCGAAGATGACGAAGTGAAAATAGAGAAGATTGAACGCTCGTGCGTTGAATCAACATGGGAACAACACGTCAGATCGCATCGCTTGCAGCTTGTAGATAGTGTAAATAAAAGTTAGCTCGAACGTAACCATCGATGACTACAGGCCCCTACAATATTCGTTCTTTGTTTTCTATTTTTTATATGTGCCGATTTTTGATGGAACCTTTTTGCTTGTACGTAAACTTTGTTGTACGAATCACTAGTACTTAAAATAGACTCTCGTGTCGCTGAAGGGGAGGAGAAACTCTGTCACGCGGCAACAGTCTGCTTATTTTTTTCTTCCTCCCCCTCTCTCCTGGAGAGAAACAATGAAGTTCATGTTGAAGTTGAAGTTGAACACGCAGCACCCCTCACTCCCTAGAAAAAACTCGGTTGATGCAGAGAGTGAGAGAGGCATTGGAGTTGAATCTCGTAAAGTTCCAAGCAAGTCCAGGTATATCTGTAGACAGTTTCCTAACGATCCTCAAGGTTTATCTGAAGTCGTCGGTAATCGAATACGAAGGAAGGAAGTACGTTTAAAGTATAGAAGTAAACTGAGTTCTTTCTATAAGTGCACTTAGAGACTCATTCAATAAGAGTTTCACCATTGCGTTTCCTGACTCGCCACAATAATGACCATCCACTAACCAGACTGCGATCTATCGCGTGATTACATAAATGTTTGGCACCTCTAGCATAGTACGTCGCATACACAGCTAATGCAGGCCCATGACTGTGCTTTGGATTGAGCGTGCAAATAAAACACTGCAGTCATGACGTCTAGGCTACTAGCCGACCAAAATGAGATATACTGTAAGCAAGGAAAACAACTGCGTGGCATCCACAGTCGGGAACCGGCTAAGAATTCAGTACACTCCCCACCTCCATCCAGCGCTCTTTGGCTCTCACCGAGCTTCGGCTGCACGAGCGACAAAGTGCTATCAAATTATCAAAGGCAGAGAGCTCGCTCTCGTGACAAAGCCTCTACTCATTGTTTTTTTTTTTTTTTTTTTTTTTGCACCGTATCGTGAAGCATATTTAACCTGAGCATGCCGTGAATAAAGGTTTTGTTCAGTTCCGCGCGATTGCAGGGAACGTTAAATAAACAACACAAAGCATTTTTTTGTTTTAAACAGGCGCGGTTTTGAAAGCATTTTTCAAAAGTCATCTACCATCTTAGCGTGCGTCTTTGAACCCATTAATACGCTATTATCTTGCCCACTCTATGCAATATAGGCAGGTTATTTCTTTCTATTTCTCTCCTTAAAATGTCTGGTGGTTCGCACAGGTAGCCATTTTTCGAGACAAGCTGACCTTCGAGAACTTCCAGTGTGGAGGTACGCTCATCACAAGATCTGTCGTCTTGTCCGCAGCACACTGCTTCTACAATACGCCGTGAGTCAACCAGCATTAATTATACGTTTCTAAACCCTAAGAAAGGCCTGTGCGTCTACTTACCCGCAACACCCTCGAAGAGCCAATCTCTGCGATCTACAAATTCAGCTCAGTAAATGATGAGGCGGGACATTTGTTTAGACTTCAAATGAAGCAAGCGCTGTGGCATTACGCAAAGCAAAGCGTCATGCTTGCATTGCGTATAGCGCAAACTTAATTTTGAGGTCTAAAGAGATGTTCCGCCTCATCATTCGCTGAACTAATTTCGTAGATCGCGGAGATTGGCTCTTCGAGTGTCTTGCGGGTAAGTAGACGCGCAGGCTTCTCTTAGAGCGTAACACATTGTGTATTTTATCAGACGAATTTTATGAGAAAACGTGGTCAAGACTGCTGCCAAGGACCGTCAGAACTGACGTCACAGTCATGTAACCTGATGACGTCACTTAACGTCTCACACACACACACACAGAAATAGCATGTGACCAGCCTTTTCACAACGCGTCTTGCGCTCCCGGTTTTTGCCAACAAGATCAAACTATCGTCCAACACACTGTTCACAAACAAGCCCGGGTTTGTCCCCGCCGGGTGTGGGCACAGCGCTTGCGCAGAAACTAGAGTCGCCTGAGGCGAAGCATCCACGCATGCGCAGATTGGAGAACAGACTGCCGATACTCTAAGCGTAGCTCATTTAATGCTCAACTAAACCAATCACCATCATAAAAGAAAAAAAAAGAAACGCAGGATTTAGGCCTGCACGCAGTGCCTGATTGGTTTAGTCCCTCGGAGCAAAAGCACAAAAGTAACGAGCGACGTGACGAGGCACTTTTGGCGCGGTTTGATTGGCACCATCAGGCCCTAGTGTTTCTTTTTTTTTTTTTTACATTTTAGGTGCACGGCACGTATCTTAGCAGATAAGTGTACCTACCAAAGGTTATCGCGATAGAGCTTCATCACGAAATGTTCTAAAGCCGTGCATGACTCATTCAACAGACCGCCGCTCAATTGAACAATGCATTTGTGTTTGTGCACTTCGTCGTGCCCCAGCCATTGCTTCATTACATGTTTCTTAACTACACCTCAGTATACAAAGCTTGCGCTGACGTCACTTTAGGAGTCGTTGATGTGGCCTTGCTGCTTCCGAGCGGCCAATTTCGCGGGAAGGTACAAAATTCGAGTTTGGTGGTTGGGAAAAAGTTTCACAAATAAAGTTACCCCTGTCTGCTCCTTCGTTGGCACTGCATAACTAAAGCCAATTAAAAAAGAGAGGAAATAACGAGGTAATGTGTCCCAACTAAAAAGTGAATAGCTACAAATAGAAATGACCGCCCGCATAATGCGATGGCACCGCAAGCTCAACCCATGTATACGAATACCAAAGCAACTATAGGGGGAGGGTGTATGTACCGGATGCTGTATCCGCGTGCGCTGTTCACAATGCATGCTCAGAACGAGTGCACACTTATTGGCGACTTCTGCGAGATTAATTGCACCTAATCGCCATAACGGAAAGTTTTCGCGGCAGGTTCACTCGCCAGCTTTTTTGAGCGAATCAAATACAATGCACAGCGCTTGGCGGTCTTAGGACGAAGCCTTGAAACTTTTTTGAATTGACGTCTTTATTTCTTTCGGATCAACCGAAAGGGGAACAGAAACTAAAGGCAGAAAATGCCTGGTTCCCCTTCCTGGTTCCAGAATACATGATAAAATTGCCATCGTCTATAAAACTGCCAGTATTGATGATGTAGAATATACCCGCTGCAAAATGAGCGTGGAAGCTCGCCGTCTGCAAAATCTCAGCAGTGATGGAGGTACAACTGGCGCAAGTGTGCTGTGGCAAATTGAAGCAGACAGCAATCGACCGGAAATTGACTTCCGGTAAGGCATTTGTATGGGAAAACACGAGCGCATTTTCTTTCTGCGCTTGAATATAAGAGCAAATATTACGAATAATTTGTACGTACTAGGTAGATTGGAACATTATCGGTCACGTAGACGAAATAATTGATCAGTTACGACGTTGTTTTTTTTTTTTCTTAAAAATCATGGCATTAAAAACAGTTCTAAAAACGGCTTCGCACATATATGTATATGCACTGTCGGATACTGTCAGCGCTAACACGGCGGCGGCACTTTCAGCATGGGGAAAATACGTGCCGAACGAACCAAGGACACGTGGAAAACAAATAGAAGACGGCAATAACTATGTAACACTGGATCAGTAACTCCTTGTGCACGCAGTCGATTAAAATAAATTGAAGGCCACGTAATAGAATCCGATTTGCAATAAATAAGTATACTGCTTTATTTTTTCTGCTCATGAACATCTGCGAAGATGCTTGTCCTGCATTCAAAACATCACCCGCATGCTCCAAATCTTAAAAAAAAATAGGGAAAGCCAGAAAACAAGTGCCCGATAGAAGCTGCCTCACATAGGATATAATAAAACGACACACCTTTCATAGTCCACGTACTTTATTCTTTGCTTTGAATGCTCTTTAACCGCTGGTAAAGATGCACGACGGGGTCCTTTCATATAGTGACAAAACGGCCATATCAGCAATGTATAATAAGCACAATCGGAATGCTGGCGGACCTTGAACACACTCTACATTCACTTCGATTGTTATTTTGCTTAGAATCGTCGCTCGTTTATACACGCTTGCTATGAAACAAGGGTTTGGACCTGAAATATAGCAAAATTTAATGTCGTTCAGTGGAAAATAAAAAGGCTAAAGCAATCATACTTTTACAATGTTAATAAAGGTACATGGTATTCCGTACGACCTAAATAACAAAATTTATCCACGTTATTTTCCCGCGAAGAGGCAAAATGCACGCGCGTTTCCCGGTAGGAATACACAGAAGCACCGCAAAAGTAGTCTGGTTGCTGTCTGCTTCAAGTTGCATCCCCGAAGTCGCAGAGACACTACCGTCATTTCAACCTCTAGCGTGCATTATAATAACTCTCTGGTGAGAACACAGGACGGCTTTGCTCCTCTTCACTCAACGAACGCGTTAGATTGCGGAACGCCGGCGTTCAGCGTTTGGCTCTCGCATTCGAACGCGATGGACGGTTGGAGTGGAGACAAAGATAGCTAGCTTTAGGTCTACCTTCTAATCATCTCAATCCGAGCTCATCGCCGCCCCGAGCGCTCTTGTCTCGCGAATGCTCTTGTTTCTCGGGGCATTGGCATCGTGTTTGGTGTCGGTTAAACGCGTAAGCATAGCCGAATGTCTCCGTTGACAACAAGACTCCGCGAATGCAATGGGGCAGTATTTTACTTTCAATAATTCAAGCTCACACCGATTTGTTTTTTGGTTGTTTTTTTTCTTTCGGAGTCGGCCCGGTGGGGTCTGCCGAGACCATTTTCACTTTTTTTTTATCGCAGGCTCATCTTAGAGGGGCTGTGCAACGATGTTAACGTTGAAAGAATTGACATTTTTTTACTTTTGAGAGTGTTCATCTTGTCACAGAGGACAGAAAACCCACCTCCTTCCTTAAAAAAATGTTGCGATTCCGCCGCGTAATCTCGAGGCAAAAATTAGAATATTCCCCGACCTGCAGCCGCAAGCGGTTGCCATGAGAAACACGCGGCGTGACGTCAATGGGGGTCTTGTGGAAAGATAGCAAGTTGTGCGAATACCTGATGGATGAAAGGTAACTTTTCTATAAGTCTTGTCGTTCTCACATAAATATAAATTCGTCAAAACCTGGTATCATCGATAAAACTTTTATTATACGGAGTTTTAGTGGCGCCATCAATCCTAGATCCACACAACCGTCAGCTCTATCTGCTACCACGAACAGCCACCAGAAGCCGGAGGCGCAGGGGGACATGCAGAGACGGACGGGCATGGCCGGACCCGGATGAGCCTTTCCTCCTTTCACCTGATTGTTCGCGCTGCGCCCGCCAGCACGTGGTCACGCGGTCGCGAGCGGATGAGTTCTCGCTGCTCACTGATGGCTCTAGAGAGAGAACTTCACCGGAACCCCGCGCGACCCCCATTGACATGACAGCGCACGTGACTCGGAAGATGGTGAGTGAGTTGAGAGGTGTCCAAAACCGCAATCTTTGTTCGTTTTTAAAATGAAAACTAAGACATGCAGGAAAAGGCTGTTTTTTTGTTCTTTACTTCCGAAAGATCGAGGCACTAACTCTCAAATTATTTAAGCAAAGCACCGAAACTGTTGCGGAGCTCATTTAAAGGACGGCTAGCAGTCAGACAGGAAAAAAAACTTTCTCGATTCCTCCTTTCCATTCAAAGCAAAGAAATACTCTTTTTTTTTTATGCGGGGGGGAGTTTAGAGACACAGGGACCCGCTTTTGTGGGGAGAGACGGAGAGAAGGAAACTAGGAACCACTTTTATGCCCGGCAGTAGACGATTCTGTAGATCGGTCTTTACAAGTCCCGCCAAAGACCGGAATGGATAAGGATCGAGTACCATCCGACATACTTTCACGTTCCCGGCTACTCTGGCTGGCGCAGTCGATAACAGCGCGAAATAATTCGAGCAATCTGGAAAATACCGCCTCCGGCGCACAAAAAGGAACTTCGAGGTTTTCTGCAATACTTTGACCCGGAAGTACGCCATGTAAAGTCGTCTTTTGAAAGCAAATCTCCTGCTAACTCCATTCATGTATAGGAACGAAAAATGGCGTACTTCTTTTGCAGTAACGACACGCAGTACCTGTGCCGTATTGGTGACGTTAACATCAGGGAGGAGAGCGAAGACTGGACTGTGGAGCGCAACGTGACGTCGGTGCTCGTGCACCCCGACTACAACGAGGGGCAGCACTACGCCGATGTGGCTCTGCTGATGCTCGACCGATCGGCACTCGGGGAAGGCCTCAACAGGCCCCTTGCTTGTCTGCCGGACGCCGCCGCGGAGCCCGACAAAGACCAGGCCATTGTCTTGGGCTGGGGACACAACGCGTTCGGTGAGCGCAACAGAGAGACTACCTAAGTCCGTTAAAACTACGCTAAAGGCAATAAGCCGGCTTTAAGGCAGTTTTCTTTTGTGGCGAGGGTAAATTGCCGCAAATTGAAGATGCAAAAACCCAGAGCGCTGTTCCAACATTGAGCTCGAGAATGGTGCTTTATTCCCATTGGCTGGCGTAAGCGATCTTGTGGCCCCTCCAACCTACCAATGGCAGTGGCGTACCAACCTGTTTGTGAGTAGGGGGGGCCAACCAGACCCCAGACCACTCCTCCCCCCCAGGGCCGGGGGGGGGGGGGGGGCGGTGCCCTTGGTATTCACTGGGCGCCGCCAGCCAGTGTTTGCCCTGACCATAGGCGGCTGCTTAAGGGGGGAAGGGGGGTTAAAACACATGCCTTGCCCCCCACTCTGAGAACTGGGGGGGGGGGGGGGGGGAAGCGAGCGCCCCCTTGCCCCCCCCCCCCCCCCCCCGGTTGGTACGCCCATGACCTATGGCGTTTTGATTGGAAGTCGCGGTATCATTACATCAAATAGTGAACCGAGGCTGAGCCGAAAACGTATTTTTACGCCTAACGATTTGGTCACACAGGTCTAAATTACAACCCCATGAACCCTATGCTGCACGGCGGGACCAAGCGGGAACTGGGGACCGGGTAAGCGTCGTCTGCTGTGATTGGTCAGCATCGCGCCGCTGACCAATCGCAGCAGACAACGTTGACCCCGGCCCCTTAGTTCCGCTTCGTCCAGCCGTGTAGCACAGGACCCCAGTTTTGTTATTTTCGTACTTTAGTGGTTGTTGTTGTTTTCGAGAAAGCTGCGAACTCAAACTGGTAATATGAGCATTCTATCTTTTTATCACCAGTCGTGATCACTGTGAATGAACGCGGTCGATTTGTGTCAACAAGGCAACGCGGTCGCAGTTTCGTCCGATTTTTCTGCCACTTCGTTTTAATGAACGCGACACTGCCCGCAGGTGGGCGTGTGCAGACCCACCTCCAGGAGGCTAAGGTGCTGCTGGTGGCGAATGACGTCTGCAACGAGTCCTACAGCTCACTGCTGAACTACGTACGGGAGTTCCCTCGAGGCATCAACAACGACTTTGTTTGCGCGGGGAACATCACATATGGTGGCGTCGATGCCTGTCAGGTGAAAGCCCCTCCGCACGATCGCTTTCGTGAACCGCATCTGATCGGTACGAAAATACTTAACTTCGCGGTGTTTCAAAAGGAAAAACTCCGATCTCCATGGAAGTGTACCGACTACACTAGTGGTCAGGAAATTAATTTGAGGGTGGGGGCCAGATAGGCCAGTCCGCAAAGGTCTAGGGACAACGTAAGGAGGGAGGGAGAAGGAAGGGTGTTCAAAAGATTACAAAGAGAAGAGACCTTGTTCTGCATGCTTTTCGTAAACTCAGTTTGGCCAGTGACATTTTTAGATTTGATTTTTTCATATGACTACTTTGGGCCCTAACCTGATGTGATAGCGACAATTCAAATGCCTCCACCCCTCCAACGTGCTAGCACTTTTATTTGAATAAGAGAGCAAGTACACACACCGTTACTTTGCTCAATTCACTCAGAAATCAACCAAACGCAACCCTCTTACAAAAGAAAAATGTGTTAATTTTACAGTTTATGTTTTCCTCCCGATTTTTATTACAAAACTCTGAACAAATACTTGTCTTTTAAAGGTGATTTTTTTTTAAGGTGAGAATCCCGAGCTCGTAGCATTATCTTTGGCAGTTAGTCCTGCTGATTGAGGGTTCGCGCTGCCAAGATGCACTCTTCAACAAAGAGCTCGCGCTTGCAGCCCGTAGCAATGGTACATTACAACAAGTTGGGAAGCAAAAAATCAAGCGAAACGAATGGCAAATGAGCACAGATAAGTATAAACTATGTGAATTCTTTAAATAAACAGAGCTACTTTTCGAGCGAAAATGAATCGGCAATATGAGCCCCGCAAACTACAATAACGCAATCTATGCAAGTGAGTTGTACGTCCAAGAGGTCATAATTATATTCGAGTCGAATTGTTACGATAAGCCGGATGACAAACGCAAAGTTTGCTGCATAACTCTTTTCATTAAAAAATATACATATCGTTTCAATTACAAACTTGCTGAACGTAATCGAAACTCACTAAATAAGTGAGTTTTAGAAATATGTGGGGCCGGGTGACAAGCGCGATAGTGGGCCAAAGTTACCAGCCGTGCAACCGGAGCAAGGCGCCGGAGCCTTGTTCGGCGCCGGAGCGGTTTTTCCCGTCTCTTATCATCTGCGTTATCGCTCTGCCAGCGCCTCGTTATCGCTTCGCCAGCAATATATGGGTGGAAACTTGAGGGCACAATCCCCAGGGGCCCCAAAATATTTCTCAAATTGTCTTATTTGGTTGTTTTTGACGGCGCTCAGCAAGTTTTTCGTCAGAACTATATCTTTATTTTTATTACCTCGTTATTTAATAAACAGACTTATCATGGCGGTTATTCTTATGAATGATGTCCCGCTCGCTGTTTAAATCTCCTGCACAAACCGCATTAGTGCGGGTTCAACGGATTTTTCAAACTAATAGGTAAATCCTGAAACAGACACCCGGTACACAAATCAGTGTGTGTCAATAGTCTCCCAAAGCGCCACAACTCATTCACTTTTCATGATTTTTCCTGCGGCTATCTGATTGCAGCAAGATTCAGGTGGACCCCTGGTGATCCGAACCATGCGGAACGGTGAACACGTCCTCGAAGTCATCAGAATTGTTTCCTTCGGTGTGGGCTGCGGCTCAGCGAACTTCCCCGGTGTGTACGCCCGAGTTTCGACGTACAGAAACTGGATTTTAAACAAAATGACTCAAGTGCTTCCCGACAGTCAAATAGGACTGAATACCGAACTTTACGCATAGCGGATTCTATCAGGCTCTTTAAATCGACCACGAAATTCTTCCACTTTTCTCCCGCGTCCTCCTCTCCCCCCTTCTAACCTGTCTACCGTTGTCGGTTTCCTCTTCCCCCATGGTGAGGAGGATCTTCTGCCTTGCAGAATCTCGAGTCTGGTCGTCGGCCTTCTTAAAGCCCGACGACCAGTTCGCGCTTTCCACTTTTCTCCCACGTCTTCTTCTCCCCCCCTCTACCGTGTCTACCGTTGTCGGTTTCCTCCTCCCCCACTGTGAGGAGGATCTTCTGCCTCGCAGAATCTCAAGTCTGGTCGTCGGCCTTTAACCTATCGCGCTACGATTTTGTGCAGCGTTGCCCAGAGATGGTGAATTTTTTTCTATAAAATTTGCAAAGAGCGAACTTACCTGAGGAAAAAGTAAAGAATGAAAAACGCTTAACTCCTATGGAAACCCAGCGACGCCACCGGCCTCCAATCAATAGGGCGCCTATGGTTTGAAGACCACTGACTTTGCTGCGTTTCTAAAGGAATATAGAGTGTGTTGAAGGCTCACCAGCACTCCGGTGACGCTTTATATTGCTAATATGCCAGTCCTGTAACTTTATGAAAATGACCTCTAGCATCTGTACAAGCGGTTAAAACCACTCAAAGCGTCAAAAACAAAGTACTTGGGGTATGAAAGGAGTCGCTTTCTAATATTTTTTCTGCCAGATAGTCTTTATCGGGCACTTGTTATCAAAGATTCCGAGCGTGCGGGTGATGTTTTGAACGCAAAACAAGCATATTTGCACAGAGCATAAAGAATAAAGCTCTACTTATTGAAAATCTGGCTATATTAGCTGGCCTTCAATTTATTTTGATCATACATGCGGAGGGAGTTACTGATTCAGTGTTACTGCGTAGTTCTTGTAGTCTTAGTTTTCCAGATGTTCCTCGTTCGTTTCGCGCGTATATCACTTATAATGAAAAGCACCGACGTCGTGTTCGCGCTAACAGTGTCCGACAGTGCACATAAATACATGTATGAAGCCGTCTTAGCACCGTTTTAACGTCTTCTCATGAGCCGGGACTGAAGAAAAGCTTGACATTCCGTCTACAGATGGGTGAACGCTGAGACAAATAGCACTCGCATGCGCTACATAACGCTCAATACAGAACATCTTGAGAAAAGGTATGTATCGTTCGTGACAATGAACTCTAGTATGGAAGGCCACGTTTAATGCCTTCCTATACATATATTAGTACCATGGGCGTTTCTACGTCAGATCGTACAACGATGGTCCGGGTCATATATATGCAAACTATATATGTGAAATCCATGTTCTTAGGAGGGGCATTTAGCTTTATGCCAACGCCGTAGTTATTCTGTTTTTCTAGAGATATGAAATTTCCAAAGTCGAGGTGTGGAGAAAAACACCACAGCCGAAACCATGGCAATCTCCACGATCCGAGCTTCAAACGTTTATATCTCCGGAAAAGAATTAGCTACGGCGCTCGCATACAGCTGAATTCCCCTCCAAAAAACATGACTTTTAGATGAAGTTTTTACATAAACATAAAAAAAAATGACCCGAATCATCTCTGTACGATCTGTCGCGGAAGCATTCTCTTGCCATTTGTAGTTGCACACCACTCTGCGCAAGACAACTGCTACGCTGCAAGGACCCCAAAGCGTTTCTGATGCACTTTTTACGCTAGCGCTCTCAAGAGTCATCAAGCCAATGATCGTTGGCGTCTTCCAACTGTCACTGGACCGTTGTCATGTGAGTTTCATTTATGTGGTGCACAATTTCGTCACAAAATTATCGCGAAATTATACGCTCCGGATTTCGTCACAAAAGTATCGCGACATTGTGCACCACCAAAATGAAAGTCACATGACACCGGTTCTCCCGCAGGTAAGGAGTTTCACTCATCACTTTCCGACCAAGCTGAATAAAAGTATCATTTTTTATATATATATAAGGCTCTAATATATTCATTTCTCATTTGCAATATCTTAGAAAATGCTTGACTAATAAAAGTACATATATCGATTTTTAGCCCTTGTCTCAATATGATGTGTCCCATTTAGGGACTCGAGGAAGTCAGCCAAGAGACGGGGCATGTTTCTCGCTGTAGTTCGTTCAACCCGATGAACCGCAGAGGCAAGATTAGTGTCAGGTGAAGTTCTGGAGGCACACCGGGGGGGGGGGGGGGGGGGGGGGAGGAAGGAGGATTTGTTTAGAACGCTGGTTTGGCTAAGATGTCTTGTATTGGCCGCAGCTGTCCATTATGAAACAAATTAAATGCCAAAGCCCCTTCCGCGATAGTGTGAGTCAGCGTTACCAGCGATTTTTCGCGGCGTCGAATACCCAAAACGGCAAGTAATCAGATTACTCAGCTTTTGCCGGAGCCTCCAAGGTTCAGTGCCCCAGTAGCGGGCCGTCAAAAGTGAACGAGCGAATCGCTATCTTGCCAAACTTACTCGGCGTCGTGTGCTTGCCTAAGTCCCAGGAGAGCTGTCCCAACTAAAATCTCCGGATAATCCATTTTACAAGTAGCGACAACCAACGCCCACTACGGAGCTCATTGCGCTTTAACAAAATGACGTCTTTCATTCTGCCGCTCAACGCCGTCATTCGAATCCTAAAACAAGCACCGTCCACGCAGTCGGCGCTTCAAACATCAAACTGCAGCTTTTTGTCAAGAAACTTTTGTCCCAACCAATAGACGTTTTGTTTTCCTGTCGTTTTCAGTCATGTGGGTTCCGCATATGATATGCGGGACGGAAAATATAATAAAACATTTTAACCTGGAACAGGAGTGAAAATATAGGTGTGGCAAAACAAGAATGTGTAACTATCATGGACTTTTAGTAAACACCCCCCAACGGCGTGGTCTATAACTATAATTCTTCCAAATCAGGAAGACGGACACATAACATCCTTTAACTAAGGACCTTCACCATTGAATAAACAGCGAAACCCGTGATTCGACTGTCTTTGAGTCGCGTCTAAAGAAGCTATTCATCATGTTTACCCCTTATGTTGTGTGCGCCAGCAAAACGACTATTCAGTGTGGTTCACCTTGAGGCGCATAAGGCTGTTGCTGCGTTAACAGGAAGACGTGAGGCCAGATTCGCGAAACGATCTTACGCCAAAAATGTGCGTAAGACAAAACTTAAGCACAAATCCGTATTCACGAAACGAAATTTTCGTAAGTTTGGCGCAGGTTACGACGAAATCCTACGACAGCTCCGAAGCTGTCTTACGCACTTCTTACGATCAAATCAGCATGGCCGACAGCGTCGCTCAGTTGGTCGCGACAACCAACGGATGTTTATTTTTCTACGTGCGCTTCTCACGCGTCCCGACTTCAAGCAGCAAGAAACAAGTAAAAAGTACTTGAAACAGACCACGACGAACGAACAAGAACGCTGGATCCACACACACCCGGGAAAAACTCCAAGGGCCACGAGTACGGACTCCGACCGATCGGTGATAGGCCTAGCAGGCACTCCGACTCGGCGCAGCGATGATCTGACGGTCGGTCCTTGGCGAAGACCGTCTGCCCACGACCGGCTGGCGTGCTGAATGGAATATGCCCGCGCGACCCTTGTGAACCCTTCCCGTATTATAATACGGGAAGGGTTCACATAATTGAATTGAGGTATATTATAATACCTCAATTCCAGATTAAGAGGTCAATCTCTTCCTCTTGTCATCTCCTTGTTTTCCGAGGCAACGGTGACGAACGCTGCCGTCGAAAAGGGGCTCCCATCGATTCTATCTCTGTTTTGTGTGATATCAAGTTCAAATAAATGCCGTATGGATTACCTTCGCAACATGGTATGTACACTTTGTTATTAGCATTCCATTTTATTCTGACACGACTGCACCTCACTGTCGATCGCTGTAACAGTTCGTGGGTCGCAATGCCGGTCCAACCTTTCTTCGCCGGGTGTCACGTCAGCATCGAGTTGCAATCGTAAAGGATCGGTCCCGAAGCGCTTATCAATTCGTGGTCCAACAGCGCAAATCCAGCACTTCGATCAAACGCGCGCGTCGGCTCCGTAGTGTAAACAAGCATTTACGTGGCTCTTGCTTCCACTGTCGTAGTTCAAACGTATCTTTTTTAACGTCGGCTCACTCCTGCATCTCGGAGGCCGCAAAAAACGCCGCGGCAATTTGTTCCCATCTACGTCGCTTTGCAAACGACTGCGGGCCGTCTTTTACCAACGATGACAGTTGTGTTGACTTGGTAGCGATCGAGTTCGTAGCAGTCAATGGGGGTGGTTACGCATCCCGGCCTCGGCATTCGGGCGAGTTTAAATCGTGTTAGCGTCGACATATCACTGCACGGATACAAACCCCAGACAAGCGGTGGCAGAAAGGCCGCCTGTGTTAGGAAAAATCCACGTGCACCGAACGGCTCCGAACGGCTCCGAACAAATGCCGAGCTATCCGATTGGTTGTTCGTGCTGCTGAAGACGCCGTCGCCATAGCAACAGCACCGGTAAGTTTTAGTTTCTCCGTACGACAACGTCGCTTTCCTCCTCTCACTTAAGAACGCGTTCGTGAATACCGATTTCTCCTCTTCTTACGATGTTCTTAACTTACGAACTTCTTAGCTAAGTTGTCGTAAACTAAGAAGCTCTTCGTGAATCTGGCCTCTGAGTGTTGGTACCTATGCTGTAAATTAAATGGGCACGAATTACTGCCTTAAAGTATTGAAATGTAATGTCAAAGTAATTTCATTACTTTTCGAAAGTGTTTGTCATATAATGTCATTGCTTTTAGTCTTCGGTAATTTGCAATGTAATTTAATTACATTTTGCAATCTTGAAGAAAGCAATTACTAACGTAATTTAATCACTTTTTAAAAATAATTTTCCCATGGCTGGTCAAGTGGCACAACCGACAGCTATCACTTGACACCACCAAATGCGTGAGATTTTTTTAGAAAAACGAGAAAAAGTGCTTTTTGCTCCGTTTTTATGCTGCTGTCGGCAATGAAACTTTTTGTGTGCTTTTCGGGAAGCATGTTAAACAGTGTGTGCACAAACACGAAAACTGACAGCCCTCATAGTTCTTATAAATAAATGTTTTGTGGTCGAGAGTGACTACGCTGAGCGAAAAATGTTGTCCAGCTGAATGGGACAAGAGTTACCTTGAGTATACCGCGTAGCCGGTGGCGGTTTCGATGAGTTGGGTTTCGTAGACGACAAACCTGAAGGCTTTGCTACGCGCAATTCACTCACTCCCGGAAAGCCGCTGTAAAATTGAGCCTTTTCCTTTAGTTGTCGGTAACTACACTAGACAACAATCGTTGCTGGTGCAGCCCTGTTTCCTCGAATAAACACATATTCAAGACATAGCTGCGTTCACCTTTTCTTTTTTTCTAGATCCAGAAATAAGAGCTATGGAAAATATATACTACAAATGTACAGTAAAGAGTCCGAGCGTTTTAACTCTCGTACCTTTATTCGGTAAAACGTTAAACCAGGGTTCATTAAATTTGTCAATCTCGAGGAACACCTATTTTTCTATATTTAGAGTAGAAGAACCGCTCTTGGATCTCAGTATTGCTGCAACATAGTATGATAGCTAAAACCCTTGTAAAGCAGTAATGCACATAGTAGCGAGTGCTTGTAACATTGATACACGTCAGTGGATGACTCAGATCTTCACACAAAGGGCTTAAACAGACAACGCTTCACCAGGGGAAGGAAAGGCCAAAAAAATATAGGTGCACGGGGAACGCTTAAAGGCAGTTTAGGGAACTCCTTGATTACTATGCTTCGTTTCAGCTTAAGTCCAGACGCAACCGATGCTACAAGCTGTTTGGACCAAACTCTCAAAAGCTCAAGTCACTGGACCTTCTATGTACATGATTGGGTCAGCGATAATAGAAGACGTACCGAAACACTACGAAGACCAGTGTGGTGTTACGAACTTCAGCCTCGTGGTCGTAACACCTGAAACAGGTTGGTGTTACAATAATCAAGTCGGTGGCCTTTTGACGCTGTACGATTGGTTTTATCTGCTTTTAGAGTTGACTGCACCCAGAATTAAGGTTAAACAAAATATTAGGGATTCGTGTTTTCGGGGTTCAGTTTCTTTCTGATTCGGGGATGTTTTTCTCGGGGTGTATTTCCCAACAAGCTTGGCGTTCTTTCGTTGCGAGCCTCTAATGTCGAACAAAAAATCGGTTTTTCTGGGCTTATACTTGAGGAAACAGGACACGGGCTTGGGATTCCCAAACCTCAAAGGAACTAGCCCGTGATCCGTATACCTTGAAATAATCATGGTACCGATAATATAAAGAAACGATATAAGGGGTGTGGTTACACAAGAGAAAAGCATCCCTATAGAAAGCTGTGGAGGGGTGTGTGTTGTGGGTCAACACAAAGAACGCTGTAGAGAGATTTTTTTTTACCCGTGAAGCCCGGATTCTTGTCTCATTCAGGGACAACATTCATTTTGGGCTTTAAACTTTGCCCGATTGTTATAACACCGGCTTGGGGGTTATTTTTTCCGGCTGATGGGTAGACGCCGAAGACATGGAACCGTAGTTCCTAGCAGTACAATTCCAAAACCTAACGGTTAAATTATTATTCCTCCCGCGACAACGGCCGCACCCGTCATATAGCTAGCCTTAGGGATACACATGAAAGCAATAGTCTCTGCTATCTGCTCGTCCCGGGCCTTGAGCTTCAATGCAGTTTTCTCGACAATCGTCGCCACCACGTGTGCCGGTAGCTTGGCGAGCAACAGTCTGTCGACGGGACCGGGCGAGATGGCGTTGACGCGGATGCCCCTGGTGGCCACTCCGAGAGCCACTGCCCTGGTAGGAGAGACAACACCACCCTTGGACGCTGAGTAGGGCGTCGCTAGCGCGAGACCAGTTTCTGCGATCGTGCTCGCGATGTTCACGATGGCGCCGTCCATAACGTTGTCGGCCAGCATAGATTTCACGGAAGCTCGATCAACGAGGAAGGTTCCCTGCAAGTCAGTTTTAGTTTCAACTAAGACGAGTTGAAACTGCACAATTGTTCGTATATTTTCTCAAAATCTTTATTTATCGAGGCTATCCAACTCGGCGCCAGCATCTCCTATGACGTTGTCGGCATTTTTTCCTTCGTCATGCCACCTGGGAGCGAACTTGCAAACCAGTGTGCAGACAAAGGGAAGATTTGTATGCGACATAGCAAATACACGGCACCCAGTTTTTTTTGTTTTTTTTACCAGTTTTGAGTTGAGTTTTTGCGAAACGTCATTTGCGTGCCAAGTTTCAGGTATGTACGTTTTAAATTCTAGTTTTGCAAGGCGTTTCCTGTGCGTAGGTCTTTACAGCCTCAGCCCGTAGATCCTTGGTTACAAAAAAAGATAAAAAGAACGATCACTTGAAAGGCTCCGATTGACACACATCAAAGCTAGAGAAGGCCGTGCTTAGAAGAGCAGACGTCGGCTGTCACGTGCAGACGCCGCTCGACGAGGGAGCCTCGAAAGCGTACGGAAAACGACCCACACGGTGGAACTAATAATAAGGGAATAAGCAAACACAACTGACCGTGTAGCATCCGTATAGTTCCGGCGCCGCCTGTTCTGTTCCTGTCCGCAACGACGACGGTGGCGCCCTCGCGAGCGAGCACTATGGAGACGCTCCTACCAATGCCACTAGCGCCTCCGGTGACGATTGCTAGGCGACCAATGAGTCCCAGAGAGCGGCACTCTGTGTCCATGTGTGGTCCCTTCACGTTCCTTTGACCTTCTCGGTTTCATCGACAGTTTCGATTTCCACAGCTGCCACCATCAGTGTACATGGACAACGACGTTCCTGAAAGCGTGCACGGTCATTAAAAGGCAAGAACAAAGGGTTACAAGATTCGAACGCCATACACCACTGATCTCCCCTAAGGGGCTGAACGGCGCATTGAGCAAACAGGTATGAAGCCACCGGAAGTAAGCGGCTTGTCCCGGAAGTGGGCGTTTGACAGTCCTTCTAACCCTTCCGAACGTTGTTTTGAACAGTGTCCGGTTCGAGGCAATGGATTTTTTTTTCTCTACAGAACCAGTTTGCTGTGCAATATCAGGGCGTACATACCCGAGATGTCTTCTGGGAAGCCGTTTGATGTGTGAAAACTTCGAGATTCTAGTTGATTAAGTGTGCATGTCCCGCGTTCAATTGCCTAATTTTCGGAATGGGATGCTAAAGGAAAATACGAAAACCTACCACAAATACAAGAAAGCATGGTCCAAAACAAAATGACCGGTTTAAGAAATCAAGCAAACGCCCGACTTTGGGGACAAGCGTAAAACTTCCGGTGGCTTTACTCGCGCCCGGTTCCGAGAGCAACTAAGCGCTATTCAGCCCCCTGTAGTAGAGATTAGTGCTATAAGGAGGGCCACGTGCACTAACACAAATGGTCATCCTCTAGAGGCGTGTGTCCAGGCATTGTTTTCTTTCGGAAAATAAACGAGGTACCGACTGTCAGAAAGAACGCGAGAATGGTGAGGCGATCGCAGCTCATGGTAATGTCTACTCTTCGAAAGATTTGTTTTCCGGACGTTGTGTAGGGAAGAGTTGCGGTGCCTGCATTTTAAATAAATGCCAGCTGCCAAGAACGTTAACCTCTTGTGCACTAGGCACACAATCGCATTACACAGGCAGACGTCTCGGGCAAACCAAATGTCGTCTCAAACAAAAACTTAATTTGAAAAAAAGTTCTCCCAAAACGCTATAAATCTTTTTTTTTTTTTTTGTGCGACATGTTGAGTACCACTTCAGTGTTAGAACCACCTAAAATGCACGTAGGTACCTTGCAAACTACATAAATAATTATAATTGAGGCGATTTTAGACCTTGAGAGAGAAACCCATTTCATTCGTTTTTCATTCGTTATCGTTTTATCTTATTTTGTTGTCTTTGCTTTTTTTCCATCCGTGTATTAGTGGTGGATGCGTAACTTAAAGGATGCTGAACCGAAATCTGCACTGCCCAAAACACGCGGCAAAAGCGTGCAACGGGATGCTACAAACACCAAAACATCACTCATACAGGGATATCTCGAACGGATGACCGTATTTAAAAAAAAAAAAAAAAGAGGCGCATTTGGAGGAATATTGACGTCATGTTTTTCCGAGGAGGAGAGGGAACGGCCTCGCGTCTTCTCCGCCTCGCGGCCTTGAGGGAGCGAAGCGAAGAGAGGAGGAAACTAGGTATTTTGACGTCACGCGCCTCGTCGTCCTGGTTCAATCTCGACTTCCTTTTCCAACAATACGGCCGCCGTCCATTTGAGATATCGCCTTAGTAGTAGTGTTGTAGGGATTGTAGCGTCCCGCCTACACCTCCAGCATTGTTTTTTTTTAAATCCAAGTTTCGGTTCACCATCCCTTTAAAGGACCTGAGCCTCTTAAGAAAACCACGAAAAAAACGTGGATGGTTAAGCGTGTTGGTTTCTAATTGATGATAAAGAAAGGGGGAAATTCAAGACAAAAAGTCTGTTTGTCCTGAATGTCCCTTTTTCTTTATCATAAGAAATGTGTTCGTGATTTTATTTTATATTAGTTTGGCTGAGGACTGAGATCAATGCTTGCCGTTACTGCCCAGTTGGTGGTATTAACAGCAGGTTTTGATGGGCGGAGCCCCTAGCTATAGATATTGTAAGGGCGAATGTCTTTACGCTAGTTATAATATTCTGAAGGATAATCCGAATTATTGAGCCGTTTCTTATTGCAAGCTTTGGGGAGGGACGCGTTCGAGGACTCCCTGCGGCTCTATATCGAAACGAGGCTCATCGAGTTCTTCTCGTCATACATGAATTGTGTCGCGTAGGGTTCTTACATCGGTGATCACCTTGCGCTATAGGTCAGCGAGTCTATTTTGATGTGTCTGAGCTTATTATGCATTCTTCCTTTTTTATGTAGCTATCTTACATTTGCTTGTTTTTTATATCCTTTTCGCCCATTAAATTTTAGTTGGCAGTACTGCTGTGTCCTGTTGCGGTCGTGATTTTTTTTTTCGTCTGCGTTTATAACTTCGCTACATTAGAGCTATTCGCAGAAATAGAACGTATGGAATATTTATTCATGTTTCAATAGAGGCAGACAGAGTCGATTAGTGCAATTAGATTTGAGGTGCGGCCTGATCGTTTCAAAATATTACATTTTTCAGAATTAAAAGAATTATAGGGTGGTTTTGTTTAGGCTTTACAGGGCTGTTAAAAAACATGAACGCTATACTAATGCTGCCTGTGCCGGTGAGTTATAATTCCAGGAAAACATAATTTAGGGGGCTAATCGTCACGATAAAGTACCAATTTACAAGCAATTGTTAACTGTATATTAGTTAGTGAAGATGTACAGTCGACGGAAAAAGTTTGCGGGGCGCTGGAGCGTCAGCGGAAATGACTGGTTGCGCCTTCTGACGCCGCCCGGCCGCTCTAAAGACTCACACTCCGAGAATGGGCTTCCTTTCGTGCTTGAAGCCATGTCTTTTTTACTCGCTTCCGCCCGAAGTGCACGAGATAACTGGGACCGGCGCAAGGTGCCGCTATGAGCTCCGTCACCGTGATGGGTGACGGAGCTCGCGCATACTACAGATAACATTTCGCGGCACCTTGCGCCAGTTCCTGTTATCTCGTGGGTGTCGAACGGAAGCGAGCGAAAAAAGCATGACTGCGAACAAGAAAGGAAGCGCATGCGCAAAGCGCGAGTCTTGAGAGCGGGAACGCGCCGTGAGAAGGCGCAGCCAGTCTTCTCGGCTGGCGCTCCCGCGCCTCGCAAACTTTTGCTCCCGACTGTACATATGGATTAATTAGAAACTTGATAAGCGTCATCAAAGGCCACTAAATTAGTTAATTTTAGGATTATTTGAATCTCATTGGAAGCGCGGTGTAACGCTAAAATAACGCTCGTCCGGTAACCCTTTTGTTTTATTTAAACAAATATTTTTCCAAAGAGTGTGTCAATCCTATATCTTAAAAAACGCATATAATATTGCAAATGGCCTTACAAATATTTATTCTGAACTCTACCTGTAAACTTTAACTTCGCCTGCACAGAGGACCAGTAACAGTAAAGCATTGTTCCTTTCTAATGCAGCAATGATGCCTTTCAATACTTATTTTGTAGAACTATAATTCAAAGGAATGCTCTGCCCGAGCAAACCGTCCACTGTTGCAGTATTTTCGTATTTGAAATCTATTCAACAATTTCCCTAGCAAAATAAAAATAAAAAAACAGTGAGTGCACAGGCGAGCTGGTGGGTGTTGATCATGATGCAGAATACCCGAGACTGTAGAAGCTGGGAAACTTGGTCGAAGAAAAAGGACATAGGAAAAGAACATCTCAAACTCAGCTACTGCGTTTACTTCTTCAAAGCCTTATATATCCACAACATAATCACCGACCACCGATGTCCCAGAGCCGACCTTTGTTATACAATCCTACCCACACTGATCTTCACTTGAACCGTGAACCGTGATTTCAATCCTAAACTGAAACCTTGGGATCTGGAAAAAAACGATCCCGCTGACCCACTTCCTTTCCAGTCGGAGTCTGAAAATGCTGTGCTTTATCTGAACGAGGAATAATATCTCCTCCAACTGAACCCTTGCCCGCAAAATGACTCATTGCACGTTTGCCTACAACTGTCAACAAAAACAAAAGGCGAAAAAAACATTACATTCTAAGAAACTTCTTGGAACTACTTCCGAGTTGCATCGATGCATGGCTGATACAGTTACCGGTGGATTTGATACGAATTGTCTTGCTTATGGGCCACTTAGTGTTGTTACGCTCTCTGTGCACAAGGTCAGTTTGCGACCAAAGTGCCTTTAAATCGCTGCAATCACTAATGCATTTAGCAATCTCCGAATTGAGAGCGTTTACTTTTACATTTCTTTTGTGCTCTACCGGTCTATCATTTACACACATTGCCGTTTGACCCGCGTACTTGAAACCAAGTTTCCCAGCTTTTACCACAGTCTCGCGTTTTCTGCATCATGCTTAGCGAAATAGTTGGAATGGGGGAGTCGATATTTATGGCACATGTATATTGTTGTTTGTTTTTATCTGCCCGCCTAAGGTGTCGATTGGAGTCTTCAATTATTTAATATCCAGCTGAATTGTTTTCTATTTAGACTCTCCTAATGTGCGCCGCAATAAATGCAATACTTATTGCGTTAGTGCAGCGTGTAAACTAACGCTTCCAAGGGGAAGGTGTATATAAGTCGTAGAGGCAATAAAGTTTTCAGCTGATTTTGAGACCTTGTCTCTCCCTTTTTCCTCCTACTTCACGAGTTTCCGTTTTTTCAAACTACAGAATCGGGTTTCAGTCGTCATGTATGCTTCTAAGGCACTTGACACCGACCGCGAAAATTGGTTTCACAACCTGTCCACTGTGATTTTCTGCAGAGATGCGGCTAGGTGGTGGAAGCACAGGGTGAAAATATCAACGGATAAGCATAATTTATGAAAAAACAGTTAGGGCGCAGGCGAGCTGGTGTAAGTTTACCATTTTTTTTTAGGTCGATCGGCAATTGCATAAGCCAGGCGTCTATGCTTCTTAGTGATAGGGCGAAAGCTTTTCTGCGAGTATAAATTGAACAGGTTTTGTGTTTTTTCGCCAGAGGAGCCTCCTTTGTCATGTTCTTGTTCCGTTTGTATACTTATGTAAAGAAAAAAAAAAGTGTAACAGGTCGATGGGTTCGAACTGCAGTCGGTTCCGTGTGGATCGTTTCTTTGTTTTTTGTAAAGATAAGAGTGGCTGCGAGGTCAAAGAATGTTACCTTCGGCCGACGCTTTGATGTA